GAGATCTGTATTTGTTCATATGACTTTTAGTTACTATCTAGTGTTCTTGTTTTACCTTGCAGGACTCCCTTGAACATCTTCCTCCCTCCCTCCCTCCTTTTCTCCTTCCCTCTTTCCTTTTCTCCCTCACTCCTTCCCTTCCTCCCTTCCTCCCTCCCTCCCTCCTTTTCTCCCTGCCTTTCTCCCTCCCTCTGTCCCTCCTTCCTTTTCTCCCTCCCTCCTGTTTTTCCTATCCCTAGGGATTTAACCCTGGGGCTCTTTACTATAGAGGTACATCCCTAGTCCTGTTTTTTTTTTTTCTTATGGGACCGGGACTTACTAAATTGTGAGGGTCTTGCTAAATTGCTGAGGCTTTCCTTGAATCTGTGATCCTCCTGTCTCAACCTCCTGAGACACTGGGATCACAGGTGAAAGCCACTTCATACTTCATTTCTTATAGGGCATATATAGTGACATCTTAATTTCTCAATTTCAAAGAACAGTTTTGCTAAGTATAGGAGTCTTGGTTGCTCCCCCACCCCCACATTGCCTTCCCAGCTCCAAAATTTCTGATTAGAAATCTGCTAATAATCTTATTAAGGATCCATTGAATGTAATGTATTCCTTTTTTGTTTTACCTTGCAGGATTTAATGCTTTTAGGATTCTCTCTTTGTCTTTAGCTTGTGAAAATTTGGTTATAATGTTTCTTGGTGTGAGTCTGACTTCATTTTTAAGTTTATTGAGTTTTTTGGCTATTGTATATTCATGTCTTTCATCAAATTTGGGACGTTTTCAGTCTTTATTGCTTCAGATATTCTCTCTGCTCCTATTCCACCCCCATTCTTCTTGAATTACCTCAGTGCCTATGTTCATCTCTTTTCAGGTTTCTTATCATTAGGCTTGGTTTTCTTTAGTTTTTTTTCTTTTTGTTCCTCAGACTCTGTATTTTCCATTGTCCCAAGCTCGATGACTCTTTGTTATGACTGCTCAAATCTGCCTTCAACTCTCTAGTTAATTTTTCATTTCCCTATTATGTATTTAAGCTCCAGAATTTATTTTTAGTTTCTTTTTAGGTTTTGTCTTTACTGAAAGTTCCATTTTGTTCATACATTGTTTTCTTGTCTTTTTCTTTTTTTTTTTATTGTTGGTCGTTCAAAACATTACATAGTTCTTAATACATCATATTTCACAGTTTTTCTTGTCTTTTTCTAATGTGTCTCCTAGAAGATCATTTTCAGAGATAGTTTCTGTTGATATATTTATTTTTTTCCAAGTGGGTCGGTCATACTTTTCTTTTGTTGTGTGTGAGTGATTTTTGTTGTTGTTGTTGAAAAGTGAATATTTGGCTCTAATAATGTTGTAACTAGCAACCAGATTCTTCTTTCTCCCAGACTTTGGTGTATTTGGTTTTTTTTTGTTTGTTTGTTGTATGCTGTCTCTGTGTCCAGATTCAGCCCACTTAAGATCTTCTCAGGTGTTTCCTGTGCCTTTTCATGGACATGTAGAGTAACTTTCCAGTTTTCTGCCCATATACAATGGTGCCCATCTTTTAAATCTGAAGTTCCTTCAGATGGAGGGGAAAGGGACCTGCAAAAATGTAAGAAGTATGGCAGTAGTCTCCTGCTTGTTTATTTTTACCTTTGTGATTAAAGCATTGGTCAGCAAACAGTTCCCTGATACTTGGAGGAAGAGTCTTTTTTGTCCACTCTGACTCCAGCATGCTGTTTGCAAGCTCTTACAAGAATATGTACACAATTGCCTACCAGCACCTTAAATAGCTCCTTCTATGCTGAGGTGAAATGACCAAAATTAATTGAAATTTACCATGCAAGCCTTTCCCTGGAAATTGCAAGCCATCAATAGAATCCAGCTGAACACATTCCAAGATCCCCCAAGAGATACCTGACATCACAGACAGTACAAGTTTTGCTTTCCACAGTTTCAGTTACCCATAATCAGTCAAAATGCAAAAATATTAAATAGAAAATTCTAGAAGTAAATAGTTGACATGATGGAATCTCTTTTATTAATAGTATATTGTTATAAATGTTCCATGTTCTTATTTAAAAAAAAAAATATATATATGTATGTATGTAAGGGAGAACACATATTTAGGCTTTGGTACTATCTGTGATTTACAGGTATCTTCTAGGGAGTCTTGGAATATATTCTTCATGGATAAGGCAGTGCCGTTGTAGTTATATTAGATATATTTAGCCAATGCAGTTGTCTGTGTGGGAATACACAGAATTTGTGCTTCCCAGCTGCTATCTTCTCCTAAATATTATTTCTCAACATGATTTTTAATGAGCTCATAGACTTGCATTGAATGGTTGTAACATAATTTATTTTACCCATTTCCAGTTGTTAAATTAGTTTTAGCTAATTTGGGGGGGTTAATTAACATTTTTAGAGATTTTCACACACATTTAATTGTTTTCTTCTGTCCTTGTTAATCAGAAACCTTGACCAGAAAGATAGAAAAAATATTATTAAGTATAATGACATTTTTTTTAAAGGTGCTCTTTAGCTGATTCTGGAGCCTTTGTATGTGAACCCTCCTACCCCCAAGTGATGAGAATTTTGTAGACTCTTCACCCTTTGGCTTGGGTATCTGGCCTTCTTGATTGATCCTATATTTTATTTATGATGAGTCTGTCTTTTTTGGGTTTTGACCTGTTTTACTTTGTATTACAAGAACCAGTCTCTCCTGCTTCTTCACTCCTAAATCTATCACTCATAAAGAATCTTGAAGTCATATTTAATTTCCTCTTTCTTATAAACTGCACATGTATTCTATCATGTCATGTATCAACTGTACTCTGAAATGTTGTCTGGAAAATTTCATCTTTGCTAAGTACTTAGAATTTTATACTGCTTGAAGACATGGTTATCTCTTGCATGGTTTATTGAAGCAACCTCCTGAAACAATCTCCTAGTTTTTGTCCTTTGCTTTCCAAATACAGAGTGATTATTTTAGTATATAACGTGACTCATAATCATTGTTTTACTTAATATCCTCCTATTTCTAATTTCTAATTCTTGTTGAAAGGCAAAAATTCTTAACACTACTTAAAAGGTACAATGTAACATAGTTTTTTTCTTCCTCTCTAACTTGCTCTCTTTTCATTCTTTACCTGCTTATTCTACTCCAGCCTTGTTGGCTTACTTAATAAAGCTCACTAAGAATATACATATCTCTGGGACTTTGTGTTTGTTCTTCTCACCAACTAAAATGTTCTTCTTCCAAATAACTGTTTAGAACCTTATCAATGAGGCTTTCCCTAATGGTCTTATTTTAAAAGTCTAGTATATTTTAACCTTTCTTTGTGTTTAATTTTTCTCCTTACCATCTATTATTCAACACATAGTACATTTTGTCATGTGTTTATTGTTGTCTCCTCCTACCTGAATGATGCCACTTAATGGTAAGGATTTTAGTTTAGTTTTGTTATGTTGTATGTCCATTGCTAGAAAAATAATTGACATGTAGTTGCTGCTAAGGAGTTATTTTAAAATCAATGAATGAATGTGTCCTGCATTTTTGTTTGTGTTATTGCTTATTTAATTTTCTGGAAGCTTTTTGTTATTAAGTTTGCTTTCTCAATGTTTATTTTTATAGCATATTATTTTATAAATGTAACATTTTCTCTTCTCTTGAAGAATATAACTGGCAGCCCCCCCACCAAAAAAAAAAAAAAAACCAGATATTTTTCATGCCTGGACTGGTCATTCGTCAGGTTGTTATGTCTTAATTATTTTGGTTTCTGTTTCATACTAAGAATTTTCCTCAGGCATCTACTGAACATTGGTCAACAATTTTTAACACACTGGAAAGCTCTTGGGAATCTCCGAATAATTTGGGTGGGTGATATCAATTCCTGGAACAATCAGTATTTGTTTTTTGGCTATTTAGAATCTCCTCAGAAAAAAAAATTAAATATTTATTTTTTAGGTATAGATGGACACAACATAATACCTTTATTTTTATGTGGTGCTGAGGATCAAACCCAGTCCCCTGCCTGTGCTAGGCAAGCACTCTACCGCTGAGCCACATCCCAGCCCTTCTCCACAAAAATTTATTCTTTATTCCTGGCATATATAATTCCAGTGGTTAGCATTCCGTTTGGGTAAGAAGACTAAGAACCTCTATTTTCAGTATTGCCCTTAACTTCTATATAGTACTACTCTCCATTCTTGCTGCCTAGTTCACAGACTTTGTTTTATGCCCTGCCTATGTAAAGAAGCAACAACCAAAGCCTGAGAAAACAATATGCTTTCTATATACAAAGATGTATTGCTGTTTTTTTTTAGTATATTTTATTTCTTAAGTGTTAATTCCTTAAAATTTATGTTATTACTGTTTTTATGGGCTTTTGGAAATATCCAAACGTGTACAATTTATCTTTACCTTAAAAGCCCTTTGATAATTTTACATGTTTTGTTTATTCTTATTTCCCTAATGCCTATAATAGTGTTCAACCCCTAGCAAAAGGGGTATATGAGTGGTGTGTGTGTGACCAAGATCCCAGGGAAAAATTAGATATTCTATTGAATGGTATGGCCTGTTAGGATTGTAAATTCCTGTGGTAGCTTTGGAAGTTCTAGTCTAAGAAAGAGAAAAGCCATTGTTATATTACTTATTGATTAATAGCAATTATTTAAAGGTATGAGCAACACCTACATGACATTTGTATGTGAATGTGCCAGAACCCACAGAAACTTTTCTGAATTGAGAAAAGGTTAATCCTATTGATTGATAATCATTTTCTGATGTCTTAGCATTTTTTTTTTGAATCTTTTTTCTTTTGGGGGTGCGTGTGTGTTGTGCTGGGGATTGAACCCAGGGCCTTGTGAATGTAAGGCAAGCACTTTACCAACTGACCTATATCCTCAGCCCAGCATTTTTTTGAATCTTTAGTCTTTAATGTTTTATTTGACTTATTTTGTCAGTGTATAGGGCATTAATTAGCGATATCTTAATTCACTCATGAAAAATATACTATATATTTTTTTACAGTGATACATTTGATATTTCCTGGAATGTCAGAACTGGGATTCACCATAGCAGATTACCAAGTAGCACCTCCTTGCGTGATAAAGATGGGATATTTGCTAATTCAGCTAGCAGTAAACTACTGGAAAGAGCCCATGGAATTCTCACGTCAGTATTGATAAGTAATATGGATTGTTTTGTTATGATTGGTTTATAGTTTTTGGCTGCAAAAATGGGAAATGGTGAAGTATTATTTTCATGAATATAATTTTTGGTGGGGGTCATACTGGGGATTGAACTCCAGGGCACTCCACCACTGAGCCATATCCCTAGCCCTATTTTTTGTTAATTTAAAGATAGGATCTCACATAGTTACTGAGCATCTCACTTTTGCTAAAGCTGGCTTTGAGCTTTCGATCCTTCTGTGTCAGCCTCCCGAGCCGCTGGGATTACAGGCATGTACCACTGCACCTGGCTCATGAGTATAATTTTGATAGATATGTTCCACAAAGCATATAGTCAGTATTTAGAACATGAATCTAACACATTATTACATTGGTGGTTTTGCTGTTTCAGTGTTCCATATCACCAAAATAATTGTGGAGATGATTATTGCTTTTGACAGATCTCACATCTTAAAGAAAGAAAAAACTTAGTTTTTTTTGTTTATTTTAGAATTCCCAGTTGTTACTGCAATAATTAATCTTTTTTAAAAACATTTTTTGTAGTTGTAGATGGACAGAATAATATTTAGTCTTTAATTCTGAAAGTCTTAATAGTTGGGCAGGAAATACATTATAAATGGGGTGGTACCATATATAGTAGTATATAACATTTATCCAAGCCTGCCATTCCTTTTTACCTGACCATAGCACTGGTTTGAGGATACAGATATATAATCATGCATGTGGTACCAGTAAAAAGTTTTTAGTTACCAGCATTAACAAATTTCAGATGCTTAGGAAGAGGTGTGAAAAAAATGGATTCCTTATTCCCTAAGATTCCCTAAGTCCTTGCTTAACAGTATTAATAGACTAATATAGGCCTTGCTCTGTTCCAGAAATGTGTAGTAACTCATTTAATTCTCACAACAGCTTTAAGAGGTAGGCGGTATTATCACCATAATTTGACATTATAACAATGAAATCAAGGCTTATAGAAATTAAAATTATACCTTAATAGGTGACATTGGACTTTATTCTCTACCTCAAGCTACAAAAATGTTAAATATAAAATAAGATATAGGTATGATACTGAGTTTTTAAATAAGAAAAAGTGGAATAATTATTCTTTTTTTAAAAAAAGTTGAAGTAAAACAGAAATCTTCTGCATATTTTTATAACTTTTATTTATTTATTTATTTATTTTTATGTGGTGCTGAGGATCAAACCCAGTACCTCACATGTGGTAGACAATTGTTCCACCTCTGAGCCACAACCTCAGCCCCTAATTTTTCATTTGAGACATTGTTTTGCTGAAAAATGTATTTTTGAAAGATTCATGAAATTTAGGCATTTCATTTATAATTCTGAAATGTCAGAAATCTTTTGTAGTTAACAAGAAAGTAGATGCCCTACTTACATCCAAGAAAATGCAACTGTACTTTAGATTGGACAATATTGCACTAATAATGATCAGGCTTCCCCCTTTTCCTTTCTTACCCTTCTTAAAAGCATCTGCTTTATTGAACCAGGTAATATTTTCATAGAGATGATCTGTGTTATTAGAAATGGGTAATACATTGCTTGATTAGAGACCTTGAAATCATTAACCCCTACAGTATTTTTTTTCTAACAAGTATCTTATCTTCTTAGGAGAAACAAAAACTTCAAATCCAAGCCTGCTCTTCCAAAGGTGAGTTTTGTGGAAAAAAAACTTTTTTTTTTTAGTAGTCTCTTAGATACTGCTTACTTTTTAAAATTTCTCATTCAAGCAATCATTATGATTAAAGATGAAGAATGCCTTATTAAGAGCCAAGATAGGAGTATATATACTTAGCTGAATCCATTTAAGAAATAACATTGAGTTCATCTATTCCTCCCATGTTCCCTCTCCCTATCCCACTATGAATCAGCCTCCTTATATCAAAGAAGACATTCTGCATTTGGTTTTTTGGGATTGGCTAACTTCACTTAGCATTATCTTCTCTGACTTCATCCGTTTATCTGTAAATGCCATGATTTTATTCTTTTTTATTGCTGAGTAATATTCCATTGTGTGTATATACCACATTTTTTAATCCATTCATCTATTGAAGGGCATCTAGGTTGGTTCCACAGTTTAGCTATTGTGAATTGTGCTGCTATAAACAATGATGTGGCTATGTCCCTGTAGTAGGCTGTTTTTAAGTCCTTTGGGTATAAACTGAAGAGAGGGATAGTTAGGTCAAATGGTGGTTCCATTCCCAATTTTCCAAGAAATCTCCATACTATTTTCTATATTGGCTGCACCAGTTTGCAGTCCCACCGGAAATGTATGAGTGTACCTTTCTCCCCACATCCTCAACAACTCTTATTGTTGTTGTTTGTCTTCACAATAGCTGCCATTCTGACAGGAGTGAGATGAAATCTTAGAGTGGTTTTGATTTGCATTTCTCTAATTGCTAGTGATGATGAACATTTTTTCATGTATTTGTTGATTGACTGTACGTAATCTTCTGAGAAGTGTCTCTTCAGGTGCTTGGCCCATTTAAAATTGATTGGGTTATTTGTTTGTTTTTTGTGTTTAGCTTTTTGGATTCTTTATGAGTTCATTTATACCCTAGAGATTAGTGCTGCATCTGATGTGTGAGGGGTAAAGATTTGCTCCCAAGATGTAGGCTCTCTATTCACCTCACAGATTGTTTCTTTTGCTTAGAGCTTTTTAGTTTGAGTCCATCCCATTTATTGATTCTTGATTTTAATTCTTGCACCACCAGAATCTTATTAAGGAAGTTGGGGCCTAATCCCCCATGATGGAGATCAGGGCCTACATTTTTGTCTATGAGATACAGGGTCTCTGGTTTTATTCCTAAGTCCTTGATCCACTTTGAGTTGAGTTTTGTGCATGGTGAGAGAGAGGGGTTTACTTTCATTTTGTTGTATATGTACTTTTAGTTTTCCCACACCATTTGTTGAAGAGGCTTTCTTTTCTCCAATGCATGTTTTTGGCACCTTTGTTTAATATAAGATAATTGTAGTTTTGTGGGTTAGTCTCTGTAGTGTCCTCTATTCTGTACCATTGATCTACCAGTCTGTTTTGGTGCCAGTACCATGCTGTTTTTGTTACTGTTGCTCTGTAGTATAGTTTAAGGTCTGGTATAGTGATGCCACCTGCTTCACTCTTCCTACTAAAGATTTCTTTGGCTATTCTGGGTCTCTTATTTTTCCAGATGAATTTCACGATTGCTTTTTTTATTTCTATGAGGAATGTCATTGGAATTTTGATCAGAATTGGATTAAATCTGTATAGTGCTTTTGGAAGTTTGGTCATTTTGCTAATATTACTTCTGCCTATCCAAGAGCAAGGTAGATCTTTCCATCTTCTAAGGTCTTCTTTGATTTCTTTCTTTAGGGTTCTGTAATTTTCATTATTAGATCTTTCAAATCTTGAATTAAGTTGATTCCCAGGTTTTCTGTTTTGTTTTGTTTTGTTTTAAGATACTGCAAATGGGGTAATTTTCCTTTCTGAGGATTTGTCACTGATACAAAGAAATGCCTTTGATTTATGGATATTGATTTTATATCCTGCTACTTTGCTGAATTCATTTACTAGTTCTAGAAGTTTTCTGGTGGAACTTTTTAGGGTCTTCCAGGTATAGAATCATATCATCAGCAAGTAGTGCCAATTTGAGTTCTTCTTTTCCTATGTATATTCCTTTAATTTCTTTCGTCTAATTGCTCTGGCCAGTGTTTCAAGAACTATGTTAAATAGAAGTGGTGAAAGAGGGCATCCCTGTCTTATTCCAGTTTTAATAGGGAATGCCTTTAATTTTTCTCCATTTAGAATGATGTTGACCTGGGGCTTAGCATAGATAGCCTTTATGATGTTGAGATATGTTCCTGTTATCCCTAGTTTTTCTAGTGTTTTGAACATAAAGGGGTGCTGTATTTTGTCAAATGGTTGTTCTGCATCTATTGAGATGTTCATATGATTTTTATCTTTAAGTATATAGATGTGATGAATTACATTTATTGATTTCTGTAAATCTCTAATGAACCTAGATGCAAAAATTCTCATTAAAATTCTGGCAAATCACATACAAAAACATATCAAAAAGCTTGTGCGCCATGATCAAGTGGGATTCATCCCAGGGATGCAAGGTTGGTTCAACATACAGAAATCAATAAATGCACTGTTCTTTTCATTCTCTTCAAATACGTAACTTAATATTGAACTTCATATCATAGCCAATATGGATATGTTCTGTTTTAAAAAACCAGGCATTACTTAAAAAGTATGGATGCTAGAGAAGGATTCAGAAGAAGGGATGACATCTAGGTTGGGTTTTGTAATATATAAAAATTCAAGGTGCTCTTCCATCAAAACCTTTGGCATGAGTCAACAGTCAACATTTAGTTTTTACGTATGCATCTCTATGTGACACATACATGTTCCCTTTCGATAATAATTCAGTTATGTTAGTTTGTGGCAAGGAAGTAACCCCTTGAAATGAGGAGACAGCTTTTATGATCTCAGATTTTTCCTATATGACTATAGCTTTGTAATGACAGTACTGCTTTTTTTTTTCTCCTCTCATAACTTGAAAGTGTCACTTCTATTAAATCTTCTTTTCTAACATGTTTTATTTTTTTGGTTATATTCTTTCAATGACTGGTCATTGCCCTTGTTTCTACTTTGATAATCTGTTTGTATCTTATACTTCATATCAAAATGATGTTAATGTTTGGCTCCCATTGTAAATTTTTATAGTCACAGACTCAAAACTATTTTTATTGTCCATTTGAGTCCTGTTTAATAGCATTAGAAATATCTTAGTCTATCCAGGCTACAAAATACCTTAGACTGGTTCATTTATAAGCAAAAAATTTATTGCTCACAAAGGGCTAACAGATTTGATGTCTGATGAGGGCCTCTTCTTCATGGATGGCACCTTCTATATGTCCTAACATGGTGGAAGGGGTAAACAAGTTCCCTTGGTATTCTTTTATAGGAGCACTAATTTTGTTCATGAGAGTAGAGACTTCATGATTTAATCACCTCCAAAAGTCTCACTTCTTTATTCTATCACATTGTGAATATTGTTTTAATATATAAATTTTGAGGATGTCAAATATTCAGACTGCAGCAGGCAATATCTTACTAGTCTTTATGTGTGCAAGCACCTTACATAGAATCAATAAATAATTGTTGAAAACAATGAACTAAGCAGTGACAATGGAATTGAGAAAGGAATAAAGTAGATAATTAACAAAAGCTCTATGAATGGATTTAATTTCCCGTCTTTTTCTGTTTAGATCTATGGCCCTTTTTCTTTTGTCATTTTAATAAATCTTAGTAACATTTGAGTTAGTTACTCTTTAATATCCTAGGAATCTATACTTATATGCAGTGTTTCTCCAGTAGTCAGAATGACAGCTGCTGTGTAGTAATCACTGTGACTACTTTGTGATTGGTCAGGTTATTGTGAGTTTTATGAGCAGAGGTCTGATCCTTAGTTGCTGAGGAAAAAATTGTTGAAAATTCACTAGTAGGTAACCATTTGTTAAATTATTTAAAATTAGTTACAATTTTGAATACCTACTACATACCAATTGAGTATAGAGTATTTGGGGAATACAGTGAGAGGCCTTGTTTGCTCAAAGCTTTTGTTCTGGAGAAGAAAAAGACAATATACAAAAATATAAATGGAAAGATAAATTAGATAGTTTGATATTATTTACATTGAGGAAAATTAAATGACATAATTGACAGAGGTAGGCAACTGTTTTGATTCTTAAATGAAAACATCCTGAGAAAATTATATTTAAATTGAAAGCCAAGTAAAAACTAAGCCTTGTAAATGGTCTGCCTGTATAGTACTCTAAGCAGATGAACAGGTTGGAAAGACTCCAGGGCAGGAATTAATGTGTATTTAAAAAATATTTTTACAAAAAAATTCTTTTAACAGGGAAGAAGGGGAGGGGAGGAAGTATGGGTGGAAAAGATGGTGGAATGAGATAGACATAATTACCCTAGGTACATGTATGACTGCACATATGGTGCGATGCTATACCATGTACAATCAGAAAAATAAAAAGTTCTGCTGCAATTGTGTACAATGAGTCAAAATGCATTCTGCTGTCATATATACCTAATTAAAATAAGGATTAAAAAAATTATTTAAGATATTGTCTTAGTTATTTTATGTAGTCTACATGTATTTTTCATATAGTGACAAACACAGCAATTATGTATGCTATATTATTAATATTATAACTTTAAATTATAACTTTAAATATAGATTTTTAGATTATCAAAGTGAAAATTTATTTCTAAGGCCATTTTCTTTTTCTTCTCCCTCCCTGAGTAGTGTTTTGTTTTGTTTTGTTTTCCCTCTCTTTTTTTGATGTTGGTGGGGATCAAAACACATAATTGCTAGGCAAGTATTCTACCAATGAGCTACATCTACAGCCCCTTCCACAGTATTTTAAATTCTCAGGGGATCATTTTAGGCTTCATTACTGATTTGTTTTTATTTAAGGATAACTTGTGTATTATTCTAGTTGAATCTTGACCAGTATATAAAATTGTTTTTTTGTGAATATGCAGTGGATTTTCTTATGAGAATTAAAGATGCAAGTAAAATTAAAACCCTCCAAAGTTTATCACATATGCCATTTTACACATATATTGTTACTTTACATGACTTTTATTTATTTATTTTGTTGGCTATACTTTGTGTGCTACCACTGAGCTACATTTCCAGCTCTTTACATAACTTTTTTTTTTAAATGTTAGTAGTGATTGCAAATATTTTTCCATGTCAGCAAATACAGGTTTGTATCACCTTTATGTGCACTATAATATTTGGTTATGTGAATGAAACATACTTTATTTAAATAATATGTCTTTTCATAATTTTTCACTATGTTTTGAAGTACATTGCCTTAGAAATCTTGTTTGATAATACCCAGAAGTGAACTTGCTATCAGGACGGTTTTACTAACTAATATTCTCAATGACTGTGCCTGTCTGTGCCTATTTCCTATTTATTTGAATATAAGTGAGACTGAATAATTGTCTTTGTGTTACTTGAAATTTTTATTTCATTTGAAATTTGCCTATTCAGGTCTTTTCATTTTTGTGTGTGTCATGTATGTGACACAAAAACTTTTAAAAATTTAAAAGTTCTTTATATATATGGATAATAAGCCTTTGACACTTGTTGGAAATAATGTTAATTCAAGTTGTTTAAAATGTGTGCTGTCTTTTTTCTACTTAAGAGTTTCAATATTTTGATGTTTATATTGTCAAAATTTGCATTTTATCAATTTGCCATGTTTTAACTCAATCTTGTGATTTTCATAAAATAAGATCTTTCCTACTTTTTAATTGATCTAGGAGATCAGAAACCTTGCCAGCACACCTGTTGCTTCTAGGCACACACCACCTATGGAATTTGGAAGAAGCTCTTAACAACTGTTCTAGGGATAAACTGTGATTATAATAATTGTAGTGATAGTACAGATGTCCTTTTCTATATTTCTGAATACTCACAAACTAGTGTCTAGAGGCTGGGACTTCAGAAAATTAAAGTATCTTTTATGTGCCTTTTTGCCAGCAGAAATAGATTTAGTAGCCAGAGTCTCTGCTTCAGTTGTATCTTCCCAGTCTCACATGTGGATATTTGATTGACAAACTTAAATCATATCCAGAACTCTAGATATAGTAGAGTCTGGAGATTTTTGTTGTTTAATTTTTAGCTTCTTAACTTTTGGAGGAAGGAAAATGAAATAGATATTAAATATCAAATTTCCAATTTTATCACAGTCATGAGGTACGATGAATGATTGAATGGATAGGAAATTAGGAAAACTCTCTGAGCATTTTTTTTATTATTCTTAGATTAATATGAAGAATTTATTTTTTGCCCCTCTTTTTCAGCACTTGCTGGAGGTAAATTCTTTGAAGCATCTAACAAGATTGACCCTACAGGATCGCATAACTAAGTCTCTTCTTCATTTGCACAAGAAGAAAAAGCCTCCCAGCATCAGTGCCCAGTTTCAGGTTATTTCCAATTTTACTTATCCCTATAGTACTATAGACAAATTGTGGATTAGAAGGGTATTTCATTTTAGATAATTCTGTCTGTAGTCAAACTTTTCTGTATCCTGTGAAGGGATCACTTGCTTTCTTTTTTAAATAGAAAAAGAGAATAATACCAAGGAGCCAAATAACTTACTGTGTGCTGGTAAGCTTAAATAAAAAGCAGTGGTTATAATGAAACAGCTGCAAGAATTTTTAAAAAAGATCCTTTATTTGTAATCATATGCGTTAGTGTCATTTAGTTGTGAAGTAAAAAAAAATGGGAGATGTTACTTGAACAGGCCTTGGTGCTGTCTACACACTGTAGAGTCTAGTTCTTTGTAGATTTATAAAGACAAAGATGAATGAGTTATAGCATTCCCACCCTACCCCCCCCAAAAAAATAGTCAAGTGGTAAACATTGCTGTGAGATCGTATCAGAATTTATTAATGTATAATATAAATAGGAGCATAATCAGACTTGGTACAATTGTTTGGTCATTAGCACTCTTCCCCCTGATTAGCACATCAACATGAGAAGCCAAATTTTGATCTAAAGGGAATTTTGTTAAGGGAACATTAATACCATGATTGTACAGTATAAAATCATTGCACTGCTAAGTATCCTTTTTTATGCTGCCTTTTGTTCCTTGGATATAAATATTCTTTCTCCTTTTTTGGTTAAATGAATGACCACAGTTGTTGTTTTTAACTTTATTTTTTTCATTTATTTATTTACTTTTTTTAATGTAATGTTGAGGATTGAATCCAATGCCTTATACATGCTAGGCAAGTGCTCTACCACTGAACCACAACCCCAGCCTTATAAATATCATTCTTACACCAAAGAACAACTATAAAAAAATAAGTTATACTCATAATCCTATCTTGTCCTTCATTCCCCCTTTCAGAAATTTCAGATATTCTCAACTTATATTCATTTATATTTAAATTTTGCAGAAGGATCATCCTTAATACTTCTAATACATTGTCAAATTATAACAAAAGTGGTTAATTTTTGATTATTTAGAAAATATAAATTAGTAAAACCAAATGAAAATCCTCTACTATCAAGAGTACTTTATTTTTCAGTGTACTTTATTTTTCAGGATGTTTACTAAATATTTACACATACTCTTTTATCTGATTTACACATATGCATTATCCCACCGATATATGAGATAAATACTATTGTTCTTATCATATAGGTGAGGAAACTAAGTAAAAGGTTAGGAAATGCCACATGGTATAGATGGATGGTATACCAACATTTATGTGAATGTTTATTTTCCTCAAAATGAAATCTTGGAACTCATGAAGGCTTAATTGATACAGGAATTGCTCTTCTGCTATAAAAACCAGAATACTGGATAAGAAATATGAATCAAATGTTTTCAGATATTTGGTAATAAGCATTGCAGGATTGAGTCTTTCAAAAAGGAAAAGAAGTGAAGAAAGCCTCAGATGAATGTCTAAAGGCAGTTTGCTAAAACTCAGAGAAAACCAAAGCAGATAAATGTTTAGTAATCTTGCTAACAGAGGTAGATGCAGCTGGAATTTGTGAGGCAGTATAGTGGAAAGAGGAAGCTTTATGGAAGGAAGCTATGCATCTGCTGAGGGGTCTCCTTGAATCTATGTCTGATTGCTGATCTATGCATATGTAGGTTAAAACTTGCTGAGACTGAGGAAAGAATCACCAGAATCAGGAATAGTTATATTCCCATCAACCTGAGTAGAATGACCTGTTGGTAATGGTTCAGAAGACCACAGTTTAGTAATAGGACTGAAATAGTCTCAGTGTAAAGATTGCCTACCTTCACAAAGCTTAAAAGCAAGTCTTTTTTTTTTTTTTTTAACCCCACCTTTGTGGTACTAGGGATTGAACCCAGAGCCTTGCATATGCTAGGCAAGTGCTTTACTACTGAGTTTCATGTATCCCCGCCCCTTTTTAAATTTTGTTTTGATGCAGAGTCTCCCTGAGTCACCCAGGTTGACATCAAACTTGAAATCCTCCTGCCTTAGTTTCCAGAATAGCTAGGAATACAGGCATGCACCATCATTCTTCGCTAAAAACAAATTTTGGAAGAATCAAACTAAATAACTTAGTGGCATGCCAGGAATAATATCTGTCATTTAAAGAAGTACAACAGATTCAACAATGTAAAACAAAAGTGCAGAGTCAAGAAAATAGTAATCCTTAACAAGGGGCAGGTGAGGGGGATTACAGAAGTGACCCCAAAATAATAGGCATGGGTGAATAGTAGATAAGAATTTCAAAATAGTATTATAGATCTTTTAAATATGCTCAGATGTAATGAGAAAAATGAATTTGATGAGAAAAATGGAAGATACCTCTTTTGGAGTGTATAACAGTCTCTGCTCATTCTGCACACTGCTTTAGGAGAGGAAGCTGCCATTATCTTTTCCTCTTTCCCACTTCCCTGTTGCAATCAATAAAGACCATTCATATGTTAAAGAAGAGAAGTAAAAAGACTCCAAATGAAACTTTTTTTTTTTTTCCTTGAGAAGGGTCTTGCAAGTTGCTGGAGCTGGCTTTGAACTTGCAATCCTCCTGCCTCAGCCTCCCAAGCTGCTAGGATTACAGACATATACCACCACACCCAGCCTAAATGGAACTTTTAAAGAATAAAAATATGATGTCAGTCAATAAAAAATAAACTAGATTGGATTATAGTTTTATTAAATAGTTCAGAACTAGTAAATTTAAGTCATTTAATTTTTAAGAAAGTTAAAAAAAAGATGGGTGGGTAAAGAAAATAGCATCAATCACTTGTGGGATCATAATTCTTACCTATATTCTGATCACTTCAGAGAATCACAGTAAGTAAACAATTAAAAAGTATTTCAGGGCTGGGAATGTTGCTCAAGTGGTAGCACCCTCGCCTGGCATGCGTGCGGCCCGGGTTCGATCCTCAGCATCACATACAAACAAAGATGTGTGTGCCGAAAACTGAAAAATAAATATTTAAAAAAAAAAGAAGTATTTCAAAGACTTGAGCAGCACTCTTCACCTTCTTGATTTCAGCTAACTACAGAGTATTCATTCATGTAAGTGCCCATGGAACACTTGTCAGTATAGGTCATGAATTAAGCTAGAAAAAAAACCTTAACAAATTTAAGTAGTTAAAATCATAGAAAATATTTTATTTGACTATGATGGAATTTAACTAAAAATCAAAGAAAGATAACACCAAATAGTTGGGAAACAAAGGCTAGACTTCTAAATAATACATGAAACAGAGAGGGAAGWAAAATGAAAAATATTTTAAATGGAATAAAATATCAAAATTTTTGCACTGCAGCTAAGGCAGTACTCTAAGGTTAATTTATAGTGTTGAATGCTTTTATTAGAAAAGGAAATAGGTTTTTTTTTTGTAGTTCTATATGGACAGCATGCTTTTATTTTATTTGTTTATTTTTATGTGGTGCTGAGGATCAAACCCTCAGCTCCATGCAAGGCAAGCACTCTGCCACTGAGCTATAGCCCCAGCCCAGGAGATAGGTCTTAATTCAATAATCTAAATTTACCATAGAAACATAAGAATAGGTCAAATCCAAAGCACACCGAAAGAAGGAAATAATAAAGATAACAGTAGACTTCACTGAAATTGAACATAGAAAAGAAAAATAATAGAGAAAAATCAGTGAAATTTAAAAATGAAACAAACCCTGTGTCTCTGGTCAGAAAATTGGTAAACCTCTGATCATAGTAATTGGAAAAAAAAAGAGAAGTTAAAAATTACTATTATCAGGAATGAAATAGAGGACATTACTGCATACTCTGTAGGTATTAAATAAAATTAAAGCAAGAGATTACTACCTTACTTCACAGCCTCCTTAGTGATTTTAAAATTCATTAAGAATGCATGAGTTTGGGGGGTAAAAAAAGAGGGAGGCACGAGTTTGAATAAGATTTTTTAATGAAATGTGAAGAATATTGAAAAAAGCATTCTATATTTAGATTATTCTTAAACTGCATCCTTATCCTGTTTTGTCTTTCATTTAACCAGAATGGGAATATACACAATTTGTTTTTCCAAAACAAACCTCTTTCTATGGATGCATAGAAAGTTTTTCATATTTTGTCAATATTATTTATATTTATAATTATTTGTTGCCAATTTGGAATGGGAGAGTATTAATTATATTGCTTTTATTGCAGGCATCTTTAAGCAAGCTAATGGAGACACTTGATCAAGCAGAACCATATTTTGTAAAATGCATTCGCTCTAATGCTGAAAAGGTAAAAATGTCCTATAAATGATTACATAAGCCCAGATTACTTCAAGATTTTAATTCTTTTAAAGAGAATAAATAGGAGGGGCTATATATAATATTTATGAGGTAATAGTGTTTCATAAATATTTTCTGTGGCTCATCTTCCAGTTTCTACCCTTACTGTATACAAGTTGTTTTCATGGGTTTGATTTACCATCTCCTAGAATTTTAAAAGCAAATACCTCTTGAAATTCCATTAAAAAAAAAAAAGATTTCTCTTTGAAACTTTTGTTACTATAAAGTTTGAGTGTATCTCTTTAAAAAATTGTCTAGCAGTTTTCTTGTTTGGAGATTTTTGTCTCTGTAACCTAGGAAAGATGCTATAGACATTCTTCATTCCTTTTTGTTAGTTTCCTTAGGATTTTTTAAAACTTTAGATTCTTGTCCCTATAGGGAAGATATTAAGACATTCTTGATTGTTTTCTTCCCCGCCTTTGACAGTTCCCTTAACTAGAGCTATTCAAAACGTAGTAAGTGTAAATATAAAATATTTGTCATCTTTATTTATGTTCATCATAGGAAAAAATTAGTTCTTAGCCTAAAGAGCAAAAATACAGTAGGAATTGTGTTCAGCTTTCTTAAGTCAGTTTGCTTGCTTATTTATTTGGTACTGGATATTGAACCCAGTGGTGCTTAACCACTAAGATACAACCCCAGCCCTTTTTATTTCTTATTTTGAGACAGGGCCTCACTGAGTTGCTAGGGCTAGCCTTGAATTTATGATCCTCCTGCCTCAGCCTCCCAAGTTTCTGGGATTGTAGGGTGTACACCTGCATGCCTGGCAGCTTTCCTAAATTTTAAGAAGTAATCTGCAACTCTGTCATTTAAAAGCTTTGTGACCTTAGATAAGTGATTTCATTATTCTGTGGCTTAAATGTTTTCATTGGTAGTATATTTATAGGACTAACCTCACAGTGCTCTCTAAGTATATATAATTCCTATCTGTGAAGTGCTTAATTCCTGCCTGTACTAAGTGATTAATAAATGTTGGTTATTCTTTTATAGCGACCAAATTGGAAACTTTATTTAGGCTTAAATATAAGTTTGAGTTCCAATTATTAATAGACCCTGGTATACATAGTTCAATTAATGAAGTATTTCAGGGCACAGAATAAGTAATAAATGTTAACTGCTATTATTATTTGACATAAATTGCTCATTTGTTTTTAGGTGTTTTGTTTCCTTGATAGCTTGTATGCCTCACCTAGCTGCAAGGGAAAATATTTAGGATTGCCTTAGAGGATCACTAAACACAACATTTAGAGAACAGAGAATATATCAGAAGCTCCAAAGAAAGCTTCTTATAAATGTCTAAAAACTTGCCTAGTGAGTTATCTAGTAATGATAAGATGTTGAATAGTACCTCCCATTAATCTCTTACCTATTGTTGCTCATACAATTAAGAAATTTATTGTGAGGGGCTTTTAATAATTTTTTTATTTTCAATGTTTTATACCAGTATCATCAGCAAGAAGTATTAGGAAATAAATTAGTCTTCACCTTATATTAGAAGAAATCTGTCACCACTCAGTTAACAGGCAACTGAATGGGGCTGGGTCAGTTGGTTTCCTAGTGATATTATAGATAAAATCATAATGAAATACAAAAATATAAGTAACTCTTCACTATGTACATATAGATTTTTCTTTTTTATTATATTTTTTAGTTGTAGATGGACATGATACCTTTATTTTGTTTATTTAGTTTTAAAAAAAATTTGTTGTAACAACAGAATGCATTACAATTCATATTACACACATAGAGCACAATTTTTCATATCTCTGGTTGTATACAAAATAGAGTCACATCCCTTGTGTTCTTCATACATGTACTTAGGGTAATGATGACCATTGCATTCCACCCTCTTTCTTACCCTTATGCCCCCTCCCTTCCCCTCCCTCCCTTTTTTCCATTTGCTCAATCTAAAGTTCATTTAATCCACCCTACCAGCCACAGCATATTGTGAATCAGCATCCTTAAATCATAGAAATCATGGAGCATTTGTTTTTTTGGGATTGGCTAATTTCACTTGGCATTATGTTCTCCAGCTCCATTCATTTACCTCCAAATGCCATGATTTTATTCTCTTTTAATGTTGAATAATATTCTGTTGTGTATATATCCACATTTTCTTTATCTATTCATCTACTGAATGGAATCGAGGTTGATTCCACAGTTTAGGTATTGTGAATTGTGCTCCTATAAACATTGATATGGCTGTGTCCCTGTAGTATGCTATTTTTAAAACCTTTGAGTATAGACCTAGGAGTGGGATAGCTGGGTTAAATGGTGGTTCCATTCCCAGTTTTCCAAGGATTCTTAATACTGCTTTCCATAGTTTTTTAATGTGGTGCTGGGGATCGAACCAGTACCTCATGTATTCTAGGCAAGTGCTCTACTACTGAGCCACATTCCCAGCCCCTATAGATTAATCTTGTTACAGATTTTTGTATTAGCTAGACTGAGGCCTGTCTGGGTGATTGCATTCCTATTGAACTTTGATGGTCTTCTGCTTTCATAACCAGAGATTCCTAGAACTTGGATTCTCTCTTTTCTCTAGGGTTAGACAGAACATTTCTGAAGCTACTAGCTGGGTGGTGAACTTATCCTGTCACCTTAGCTATGTCTTAACCAGACAGTCTCCATTCAATTCCTAGATTTAAAAAAGTTAGATATTTCTGTAAAATGGATAGTAATTTGGAGATATGCTGTTCTGGGTTAACATTGTTTTCTGTTTGTTTTGTTTTAGCTGCCTTTAAGATTCAATGATGCCTTGGTACTTAGACAGCTTCGATATACTGGGATGCTGGAAACAGTTCGAATTCGCCAATCAGGATACAGCTCCAAATATTCTTTCCAGGTTTATGCTACTATAATAATATTTAAATATATATTCACATCAAGTAAATTATTCCCATATATCTTACGTGTTATTTCTTTGGAAGTCACATGTTATTTTCCTCAATTCTCCCTTTCCAGTGTACTTTTTGTATTCAGAATTCAAAAGAGTTAAAGAGTTATTGCTCTGTTGAATGCCGGCAATCACTTTAAGTTTGTGTTGTAATAGAATCTAGTATTTGCTACTCTCATTTGAACAGAATGTTTGCTGATAATAAATTTACTCTTAACATCTTCTTACTGATTTCTTCATACTGTTATCTCTAGTAATTGAAATGGTTCTTCTCTAGTTCAAAGAAAGTTAACTTTTGGTTTTTTCTAAAGTTAACTCAGCAGGATTTTCTTCAGTTAGGAAACTATCAATCAACAAAGGTACACATCTATTTCTTTTGTCTTTAATACAACTTTTTTCCAAACAAGATAATTAGCTTCTTCCCTTTTTCTTCCATTTTTGTTTTGATTATGGAATGTGTAGAACTCAATGTTTTACCCCTTTATAATACTTTGAATTAACAAGGGCTTTGTTTTGTTTTGATTTTTGGTTTGACCCTGTTTAAAAGAAAAAGAATAATAAAGGAATAATGGACTAGTTTAGCATCTTTTTTACATATAATTCTCTTGAGATTTTACAACATTTTCTTTCTGCTTTTCAGGACTTTGTGAGCCATTTCCATGTACTTCTTCCCCGAAATACTATTCCATCCAAATTGAACATTGAGGATTTCTTTAGGAAAATAAATCTTAATCCAGATAATTATCAAGTTGGAAAAACCATGGTAAATATAACATGTACAGTGTTTGTCAAAACTGCATTTTTGTTTTTTAATATCATTCTTTATTACATTTTTATATAATTTATATATAAATTTTTATAAAATAGCATATCAGAAATTATAGTCTATAGTTTTTAGATAATGAAGTTGGTATTAATGATACAACTTCAAGGCCAATACTGTGTTCTGACTAATTTTAAATGTAAGTTGAACCATCTCTGACTAGACATTCTTCTGTAATCACCAACTTAACTTCCCCAAAGTAACTTTACTATCTTTAATTTATCAACTATTTTCTTTCTTTTTCATCTGTTTTCCAGTTTCTCAGACTAGAAAACATGATACAATGATCATCTTCGGTTTACCCTTTAATTTAATCCTTTTACAAAGTTCTGGGTTTTTTTTTCTTATTTCTTTTTTCCTTACAAATGATTCTCACATCTTTGCCTATTTCTCCATTCCTACTCTTTCCATCTTTTTGTTCCTTAGTTCTTTTCATCTACATTGCTTTTACGATAAACAGCTGCTCATCTGCTTCTAGTGTATTCTAGTCATTCCATTTAATATCTTCTGCCCATAATATAAAAATCACCTTAATATACTTCTTTATGTTGGCCTCTCCTGTTCAGTAATAATCTCCTGATAACCTCATAATTAAATTTAGACATATTCTTCTCATTTAAGGACCTCTATATTTCAGCTTCATAAAATTTATTATCCTCTTGGATAATACATTGTCTCCTGTGCATGCCTTTATTTCCAACTGCTTGTGTTGTTGAAGTGAGGTTTTTCTCTCAATAGCCCTTATTAGTTTACTGTTTCTTCTTTGGGCATATGATATATACCTGCTCTTAAAGGGGGAAATGCAAATCTTATTTCCAAATGAATATGTCTAATTTATCTTTGTATACCTCTGAATCCCTAAAAATTTATTAGTGGAATAAAAGTAAATAAACAGATTAGTAATTTTGAGCAAGAAGATTTTTTAATGAGTGTTGGATTTCAAAGACTAATCATTGGTTTATTCATTTTAAGATCAAGCTTCATGATTTCATAATCTGTTGTTCTTACCTCCCCAACACCCTTGAAAAATATGACAAATTAACAGTACTTTTATGACAATAATTTTTTTCAAGCAAAATAGTCTGTCAGTCTTTGGCACTGGAATTTTTGCACACTTGTTCACCTTCCTATTTACTTCCCATATTCTTGTTTTCAATTTGAGAATGACAACTCGATCAATTGATAGAAATATTTATTGGTACTTCATTTACATGTCTGCCATTATATTTCTTCTTTTCTAAAAACCTACCACAGAAAGATAATTCATGAAATTTTTTTTTCATTTCTTCTTAAGTTGTGTTCCCTGTTTTCTTATTCTGATAGGTCTTCCTAAAGGAGCAGGGACGACAGAACTTACAAGATCTGCTTCACCAAGAGGTACTCCGCAGAATCATATTGTTGCAGCGATGGTTCAGGGCCTTGCTGTGTAGGCAGCATTTCCTCCATCTGAAACAGGCATCCATTATTATCCAGGTGGGAAGCAAAGGATTTTCTACATGAGATTGACAGGTTTATTTTGCTTTTGTTTAATCAAAACTATTTTACTATGAAACATTTAAATAATAATATAAACCTCAGAGATGAGACTATATCCTTCTCATTTTTGAAATATCTATAGCACCCAACAGATTAACTTGTAGTATAAATTAGTAGACTATTAATTTATTGTGTTGAATTTAAATTAATTTGAATAAATTGTTTTATATTGTCTTTTGAAGTATGAGCAAGGGCAAAGGAGTTATGCACCTTAATTTTGTTGGCATAGTTATTGTTATTTAAAAGTTTTCTGAGTGATATTTATGAGTTTTGTGCATATTGTTGCTAAGTACTCATTTTGAATGATAAGACCTTATTTCACATTTATCTGTTTTATTATCCTTCTTATTGTTTTAAAACATTGGGTCTTCATAAGATCTTTTCTTTTGTTCATGAAAATCTTTAATATCTCCATCTTTATTTGTTCAAGAAAATCTTTAGTAGCTTCATCTTTAATTGCTTTAAACCTATTAATGTTATTTGGAAAAACTGTATCAAGAAAATATGATATAATTTATTAAAAATAACATAAGAACCTGAAAACATCCAGAAACTTAAATTCTATAATTAACTTTGTGAAAGTTATGTTATTTAACATAGATGTTTTAGTCAAGCATATGTGGAAAAGAAAACTTATTTTTAATCATCAAACTTATTTTTAGCCACGTAACACTTAATTGACTTAAGAAATCTATCATTTTTCCCTTTCTTATAAAAATGTGTAGTAACATGTCAACCAGTTTTTATTGTTTATTCCCCAGCAATTCTGGAGAAATTACCTGAATAAGAAGCAAGTCAGAGATGTAGCTGTGCAGAAGGATGCTTTGGTTATGACTAGTGCAGCTAGTCTTCTCCAAGCTTCCTGGCGTGCTCACTTAGAGAGGCAACGGTATTTGGAGCTTCGGGCTGCTGTCATAATTATCCAACAGAAATGGAGGGAGATTTATAGGCGCAGGCATATGGCTGCTACTTGCATACAGGCAAGATGGAAAGGCTACAGGGAAAATAAAAGGTATCAAGAACAGAAGAAAAAAATTATCCTTTTGCAGTCAACATGTAGAGGATTCAGAGCAAGACAAAGGTAATCTCTGTTACCATAATAATTGTTCCCTCTCTTCCTAAGTACTTTGTTTATACCTCTGCTTTACACTAGTATTACTATTGGTTATCCTCTTGGTGAAAATTGATTTTATATTGTCTCCTGTGCATGCCTTTATTTCCAATTGCTTGTGTTGCTGAGGTGAGGTTTTTCTCTCAATAGCCCTCATTAGTTTACTGTTTTCTTCTTTGGGAATATGATATGTACCTGCAAATCTTATTTCCAAACGGATATGTCTAATTTATCTTTGTATACCCTCTGAATCCCTAAAAATTTATTAGTAGAATAAATAAATAAACTGATTAGTAATTTTGAGCAAGAAGACTTTTTAATGTATGTTGGATACATATTCTTCTCGAGGATATGATACCCATACTAGTTTGAACCTACAGTGTCTGGTCTATGATGGAAATTAAATAAGTCTTTATTGAATTAAATTCTTTTTTGTTTTTGTAGTGCTGGGGTTCTAACTCAGGGCATTATGCATGCTACACAAATACTCTACTGCTGAGCCACATCCCCAACAACCCTTCTGATAGCTTTACTTTTGAGTTATTGTATATTTGGTTAGAATGGCTAGAATGCCCAGTTAGGAATAATACTCATATTGAAAGTATCATCTGACTCATGGAAATAGGAAAATATGAGATGGTATGGATCTGGTTACTTTAAGAAATACTTGGGTATTATAGAAAGGAAATTTTAAAACTGGGTGAAAATGGCACATACCAGGTTTCCACCTACTTGGAAGGCTAAGAAAGTAGGATCACTTGAGCTTGGAGTTTGAGGCCAAACCTCAAACATAGCATAGCATCTCAAAAAGAAAATAAATAAATAAAAACAAAGAAAATTTTGTGATTTTCCATTTTWAAAAAAATTATCTTAGTGGTAATCAAGAAAGATCTGTAACCCATTTTATCTGTTTTTACATAGATTTAAAGCTTTAAAAGAACAGAGGATAAAGGAAACACAGCTAAAACTTGGATTGGTGAATATCAAGGCATATGAATCTCTGGAAATAGAGGGTTCAGACCCTTCAGAATGGGAGGATTGTTCCTTTGACAACAGAGAGAAAGCCATAGAGGAAGGTAAATCTGGGATAGAGAGTAATCGAATTAGCCGTGAAAGTTCAGTGGACTGCTCAAAGGAGTCTCCAGAGAAGCGGCAGGAGAAAGCCAGAAGCCAAAGTGGTGTAGACTTGAAGGAAGATGTGATTGTAAAAGAAAGGCCCAAGTCCTTGGAGGATCTGCATCAGAAGAAAGTAGTCCGGGCCAAAAGAGAAAGCCGGAGAATGAGAGAACTAGAGCAAGCTATATTTAGCTTAGAATTGCTTAAAGTTCGTTCTCTTGGTGGTATGTCACCTTCAGAAGAACGCAGATGGTCTACAGAACTTATGCCTGAAGGCCTTCAATCTCCACAGGGTACACCTGATAGTGAAAGCTCTCAAGGAAGCTTGGAACTTCTGAGTTGTGAGGAAAGCCAAAAGAGCAAACCAGCGTCCATAACTTTAGAAGATTTGAAGATTCCATCACCTAAAATATCTAGTAGCCCAAAATTTGATTCACAGGACAATGCCTTCAGTGCCTCAAGCGAGACTAACCATGCATTGATTCAAAAGGGAGCATCCTCTGACTCAGAGTGTTTGAAGAATGGAACTATGAAGGAAAAGGCTGTGTGCATTTCTGAACCTATTACCTGTAAACCACAGCTGAGAGACTCTTTTATATCAAATAGTCTGCCCACATTTTTTTATATTCCCCATCAAGACCCCCTGAAAGCAAGTTCCCAAGTAGACACAAATATCCAAAGAAACAAACTATTAGAAAGTGAAGACACACTGGGAGCAGCTCTTTCTTTGGATATCAACAGGGAAGCCAGAAAGTATCATTTCTCAGAAGATCAAATGGTTCCTTCTTTTAAAACAGATTCTTCTAATACTGTGCTTAAGAAATTAGAAAAGCTAAACACACAGAAGGAAGAAAGGCAAAAACAGTTGCAGCAGAAGAATGAAGAAAAGATGATGGAACAGATTCGTCAGCAAACAGACATTTTAGAGAAGGAACGTAAAACTTTCAAGAAAATTGAAAAGCCAAAAACTGAAGAGTCTTTTCTGGCACCATCTTTCAGTCCATCAAAGCAAAGAGTAGAGAGGCCATCCTCTGTCTTCATCCTAAATACCCCAAATAAGGAAGAACCCAGTGTACTAGAGTCCCCATCATTAGTGACTATAAAAGATACAAGTCTTACCCCAAAAGACAGTCCCTCTGCTCAGTTACCAGTGAGAGACCGACCTATCACCCTATTTTTTGAAAGAAAAGGAAACCCGTGCCAATCTAGTACTGTCAGGGAATTATCCAAGACAGAAAGAACAGGCACCCAACAGAGTATAGCCTGTAAAAACTCTAATAATCGCATTTCAAAAAGAGAACAACTTAGGCCAATTCAGTCTTATGGCCACAAATCTGATGAACCTTCCAGAGAGGGGAGTACAAGGGCCATTTTCTTCACACCAAAGGACAATATGAGTACTCCTCTGTAAGTGAAATGTTGATTTTTTTGTTTAGGTGGAAAGTTCTTTTATTAAGGTGCCATGTTTGTTTCCATACTGGGGATTAAACCAAGGGCCCTCACATATGCTGCATCCCCAGTCAGAGGTGTGCCACATTACGTTAACTTTTTTTATGGGTGCTGCTCAAATAAGTCATTTTCTTTTTATAGAAATATTCCCTTATTGTTGGTTGTATTAGTTACCTGAATTTGGATGTAGTTATACCCTAGGAATCCTTGATAGCAGAGTTTCTTATTTTTCCTTATTAAGTGAAAAAGTATTTGTGAAAGTCAGTACAGTGCTATAAACAGAGTAGGCATTCAACAAATGCTGGTTGCTCTAGAGATATGAAATGTAGCTGTCCAAGCTGTTTTTGTGTGATAAACATATTGCATAAAATTGCCATCTTTACTATTTTTAAGTATACAGTACAGTGATATTAATTATATGCTCTTTGTTGTGTAATAGAACTCTAGTATATTTTCTTTGGCAAAACTGAAACTATACCCATTAAATAACCCCTCCCTCTCCTCAGTCCCTGGCAATCACCATTCTTCCAGCTTTTAAGAGTTTAACTACATTAGAAACCTTACATAAATGAAAGTTCCTTCAGATATTTTTAAACACTGGTAGTTGTCATGAGAAAAGCTATTTTTCTTCTTTTTTCAGTGCTGGGGATGGAACCCAGAACCTTCTGCATGCTAGGCAAATGCTCAACTTATTGAGCTACATCCCTAGTCCAGAAAAGCATTTTTTAAGGGATACATAAAAGCAATAAAATTTAAGATACTTGTATTAAGCCTTTGTATACAATGGCTTCTTTCAGTTTTTGCAGGAGACTATCACTGGTGAAAGGAAGGCTGTATCTTAGGGCTAAATAAATGAAATTTCATGAAATTTCATATTATCAGTGAAAATACCTTTTTCTCTCCTGTTGTACTCTGGGTATATAAATCTTTCAGCCTTTAAATTTGTGTAAGATTTTATAGAAACCCTTATAAATATGGGTAACAACCATTAATATTTTATTTTTCTACTGAGGGTTTCTGCATATTATGAAATGCATTTTAACTTAATGACAACTTGAAGTTAAATTTCTGCCCATGAGCCTAGAGATATGGTATAGATGTTCAAAGGCTCTATATAGTACATATGCCAGTAAAACGGTGTTAAAAAAAATTCCTGTCATTCTGATTCATGACATTGTATTTCTATGTATGTGTATGTATAGATACTTGAATATAAAGTGAATCTGTTTTGTGAAGACTTGGTTATAAACTCAAAAAACATTAATCATCCTGGTGAATTATCCCTTTTACATTTTTCCAAGATAATACAGTTTTAAGTCTATTTGAAGTAGTTTGTTTTACCATATTAATAATCTACTTATCTTCAATAATTATACATTAAATTGTTTACATAAAAGTAAAAGCATTGGGTCTCATGATTAGGAAATAGTAGTAGGTTAGTATTTTTTTAATACCATAATGGTGATAAGTACATAGTGGTCTTCATCTGTTTAATGAGGGATGACATAAAAGAAATCTTGGGAAAATCTAATGAAAATTCCATGAGTTTAAACATTACTTTGGGTGGTAAAGATACTATTAATTGCTTTCTTTCTTTTTGGAAGCAGACAAGTAAGGTCAGCTGTGGCGATTTTTAATGGTCACAAGAAAATTCTTCAAGAACTAAAGTTAAAATTGTTTGGCTTGATCATACACTGGTCAGAAAGGGAGATAGCTGAGAAACTTAGCTAGTAAAGATTGCCATCTCTATTTGTTTCAGGACTGTTACTTCTAGAATAAAAGACCCTAGATTTCATTTTATAAAAGCTAAATGATAGGAGACTGAGGCAGGAGGATTTTAAGATTCAGGCCAGCCTCAGCAATTTAGCAAGGCCCCAAGCTACTTATGGAGACCCTGTCTCAAAATAAAAAATAACAAGGTCTGTAACTCAGTGGAAAAGCTCCCTGGGTTCAATCTCCAGTACCAAAAATAAATAAATAAAATAAAGTAAAATAAAATAAATAAATACAAGAGCACCCAAAAAGGTAAATAAAAGATTTTGAATGTAAGATCAGTTTACATATCAACTAGTATTATAAATTAATGTCTACTTTCAAACACTTCTATACTAGGAGGTAGGATATGATTCTTAAAAGAATTTATAGTCCTGCTGAGGTGAGTTTAGCAATATGTTGTTGATGAATTTTAAGACTCATGGGACTGAATTAATATTGTTGATTGAAGCACTGAAAGTATATGTTCTTTTCAGATACTGACATCCATTTCTGCACAGAATTTAATGATAAAATAATCACATCATATTCAAGCATATTAAATTTTCACAAGCCAACACTATAACTTCAGGTTTTGAACTACACTTTGTTTAAACATATGTCACCGTAGTGGAGTATACCCAGTGACTATCATGGCAGAGACTCTAGGAATTCAGTCATACATGTAGACTCTAGATAATAGTATTGATTAGGTAACAGAAAAAAAAATCTGAGTTTTTATTTTGGGGATTGCTAAGATCTGAAAATATTTATAGAATTTGCTAGAATTCTTTGATTATAATTCATGCTGTATTTTAAGACTACTTCCATGGGCTATCTGCTAGGAATTGAAATGTAATCCTGTTGTTTTATTTAAAGTGTAAACAATGAAGCCTTAAACAAAAGAAATCCTCAAGTCCCTAAACAAGATGAACCAGCTGGGAAACCTGTGAAATTAGTTGGGCCAGGCCAACAAGAGGTAAGCATCTTCTGTATGAAGTAGATGCATGTTATTCTAGAAGTTACTGTTCTTGTAAGTAGAACACCTTATCTACTCATTTATTCCCAAGTGTTCTTAGAGAAAGAAGTATGAGTTAAGTTTGTTATAATTAGGAAGGTGTACTCCATGAAAGAAATGGTGCCTAAAACTCAGAATATATTTACAAAAAAAGAATTAGCTAAGAAAAAAGGCAGTTTATTCAAGTGACTTTGGTGTGACATTATGGCAGTGAAGAATGACTTACTTGGCTATGTAGAAGAACAATGTAGATTTAGTTTCCATTTTTATTCCTTTTTTAAAAATTTTTAGTTATACATGGACACAATATCTTTATTTATTTTTATGTGGTGCTGAGGATCGAACCCAGTGCCTCACATGTGTGGGGCAAGCGCTCTGCCACTGAGCCCCAACCCCAGCCCTCCATTTTTATTCTTGGTCGAAAGTAACATATTTGTATTCCTTTTGGTCATCTCTGTTATTTCTACTAATGGAAAGGGCATTGGGGTGGAGGGATATTTCAAGAAATTCATGAGCCCTCTTTCATTGGCATCGTCTCCAAAACAGAACAAAACAAAACATTGTTGTGTTATTTGTTTTATTATTTGGTCAAGCAGGTTGCCAGACCGGCCCATAAAAAGAAAGCTCGAATGGCGCGGACGCGCTCCGATTTCTTGACTAGAGGTACTTTTGCCGATGGGGAGGGGGATACAGAGGAAGATGATTACGATGACATTATTGAGCCCCTTCTCTCCCTTGACCAAGCTTCTCACTCTGAGCTAGGGCCTGGATCCAGCCTGGGTCAGGCCTCTCACAGTGACTCCGAAATGGTAAATTTACAGCAATATTAAAAAATCAACAAATCTGTTGGGAATAGTCTTTGCTAATCTAAAGCTAGCTAATCTTCACAGCTTCTTTTCATTTATTAGTTTGTACATGGGAAACCTCAGTGAACACAGCGATTGTAGCTAAGTCTTAACTTACTAGGACTCAAATAAAGGGCATTTTAACAGTATATAATGAAATCATAAATAAAGCAAAATTAAGGTTATTTATCACTGATACAGAAATTTTTGATGTTGTATCTTGAATTTTTTTATATTCCTGAATTTTTTTTTCTGTAAGTGGCCCGATAATAAATATTTTAGAATGTTTAGGTTATATAGACTCATTTACTTGATTTGGCCACTGTAGTGTGAAAGCAGCAACGATAATAAGTATTCTAATAAAACTACAGAAACAGTCAATGGGCTATATTTGACCTGCTGGTAGTAGTTTACTAAGCCCTGGTCTAGGGAATAGGTTATCTATTAAACTAATTAAGTCAATTTTAACTGAAATATTATTCACTTTTACTTATTTGTTTTGATAGGTTTTTTAAGCCTTTAAACTTGCTTCCTTCCTCCAGTTTTTCAGTAATAGAACATAAATATGAACTTTTAAAAATCCACTGAGCAAAATGTGTCTCCCTGGATCAATGCAGTCAAATAGAAGGCTCTACATAGTGTGAATTTGTATTATCATAAATTATTAACATCAGAGTTGTGTTTTAATAAAGCTGTACTGCTTAATTTTATTATAATCTTAACCAAAACTAGGGGTACACTTGTGGTTTGACAAGTATATGTTTTGTTTCCATGCATATCCATGATTTGGTTGTGCACTATTCTTCTTTAATGTTATTATTATGGAAGAAAATTTTATGATGCTCTTTGAGTTATTAAATATTTTAGTTTTTTAATTGTTTTAAGCTGTTAGAATCAGTTGAAGACGTAGGTAACTAAAATTTCTCCTAATTTCCAAAATATCCTCATTATCTTTGTGGGCATTGGTCCCAGCTTTTTCTTGATAATGTTGGTGTTCTTTGTGGGAAAACAAAATCAGTAAAAAGAGAAGAATGTAGAACATATTTCAAGATTAAACAAATATTATTAACCTGAGCCAAACTGTAATATCGTAGAAGTTGGAAACAGTTTGTTTTATCTGTTAATATATATGATTAGAACTAATATGTCTTCAGTGTAGGATCAAATAATTCCATTTTGAAGGTGCCCTATGTTTGAGTTATAAATAATGAAATATGTTTTGTTATGATTAGTAGTTAAATATGAAATTTCATAATATAACACACTAATTTTATTTAAAATTATATTTTATGTAGCATATGAAATTATGTATTCATGAAAGAATTTAGCATTTATAACTGCTCTTTTGTTCCTGAGTGTTTCCTCTGTAACAACCTCTAGTCCTTTTGGTAGTGGAATTCTTTCATACTGGAAACTCTTGCTGAGATGAATCAGGAAGTTGGGCTTTCTGCTCTTGAGCTTTCAGCTCCTTTGGTGTTCTAGCCTCTGATCACCTGCTTGATGGTCACTGCATGCCAATAGTTGTAGAGCACCTTGCATAGCGTGTTAGACATCTCTCTGGCTTTCTCACTGTCTTCTTTCATCACTAGCTATTTTAGGAACAGGTGGTGGTGCTTGTTTCTCCTGGACACTTGCATGAAGAAGCTTTGCTTTCTAGAATATGCTAACAGATACTTATTAGGGTTTGGGGTGGGGAGGGTAGGAACAATTTTAAAATGTGTTTCTTTGTCTTGAAAATATACCTTGCTCTAACATTATCTGATACCGTGAAGATGAAAACTTCTTGTTTCTAAGTGGGACCACTGTGGGAAAAACAACAACAACAACAACAGGATGTTTTTAAAGGGATTTGATTTTGGAGGGCACATGGAGTTTTAAAAACTCAATTTCTTTTTCCTGGATTAAGTGATAGTGTCACTGGTGTTTGCTAAAAAGTATGTCATTAAATCTTAGCAGAAATGATCATATCTCACTTTTCCAGTTGTGAAGTAATTGATCTAATGGGATATGGACAGTCACAAATGAATTACCTGAAGGGGGTTTGATAAACATTACATCTTGAATTAGATGATAAAAATTCAGCTGTACTTGGTGTCGGGATAGGATTCAAGGGTAGTTGTTTCACTCCTTTGTGTGACTTCCATGTTTTTTAATTTCCTACTTCCAACTGCCATTTAAGTAACTATTTAGGGTCTATATGCCATTCTTATTTCTTATATCCACCACTGGGGCATTTACTGAAGAAAATTGCATGTTCTGCTAAGCAGTATTTTAAAGATGACTTTCATATAGTTTTTTAGTTTCTCCGTCTTCTGAATGGTAAGTGGGTTAATAAAATAATTTCTGTCCCTTATCTGTAAGATTAGTATAGGAAACATACTTTTCTCTGTATAGTTTCTTACACTGTTAGCCAGACTTAAAATAATCTCTGTAAAGATGTGATAGCCAGACTTAAAAAAATCTCTTTTAAGATGTGACTTCCAAATAGCTCTCCACAATTTCATTCTTCTTTATCTGTAACAGGATAAAACTTAAATTTTTAATTATCTATCCCCCCATTTCTTGTATTATTATTTTCTCTCATCCTTATCTGTGTTGTTTTCTTTCTCTTTGCTGTTCATTTCATAAAAGACTGCCAGAAAAACCTGTTGATCAAGCAAAGCTCAGTTTATTATTATATTACAATAGGGGAAAACCACCTTAACTGTGTCTTAGTAGTGTCTCAAAAGAAGGAAGTCAGAAGAGGTTATTTACATGATTTTGATGTCTGGACTTTGTGATTTTGTAGGGTAGAAAATGGTTGGTATTAAACACCTAGATTCTTGGATTGTCAACCCTAAGAGCAATTATACTATTGAATACACACTTTGTATTTATACCAGTATTTCATTCCCCCCAAAATCTCAAGGATAGTTTATAACACGTGACTATATTCTTTAAAGATTTGGTGGATTTCTCTGTCTAGGAAGCATCACCTGGGGTTAGTGCTTTTTTGTGGCATAGTTTCTTTATTTCTTTTAGGAAAATTGGTCTTTTTAATAAAGCTTTTTATCTAATGTCTGTTGTGATAAACCATTTTTTTATTATGAAATTATCCATTTCATCTAACTTTTCATATTTATTTTAGATTTTTGTGTATTTATCTAGTCATTTGTCTATTTTTAAAATTTTTTTCACAAAATTGCAGGATTTTAAAATGTTTTTTCCCATTCTCTACTTTTTTTGTTTTTGCTTTTATCTGTATTATTTATTTCCATGTGTTTTCTTTCCTTTTTTTTTTTTTAGAGAGAGAGAGAGAGAGAGAGAATTTTTTAATTTTTTTTTTAGTTTTCGGCGGACACAACGTCTTTGTTTGTATGTGGTGCTGAGGATCGAACCCGGACCGCACGCATGCCAGGCGAGCGCTCTACCGCTTGAGCCAATCCCCAGCCCAATATTTCCACGTGTTTTCTTTAGTTTATTAATTTCTTATTTTCCTAGATTTTGATTTGGGAATTCATTTATTTTTTATTCATATAGTTTTTTAAGTCAACATATTTTTCTGATGATAATTTTAGATGTATCTCAGATTCTAATATGTGAATATTTGATTACTTTTTGGCTCAAAATATTAAGTTTTGGTTTATATTTGTTTTTTTTTCTGATATTTTTGAATTCTAATTTCTTATTCAAAAGATTTTTCAAATATATGTAAGAATATTTAATTTTGAGAATTTCTGTTTCCTTCACCTGTGATTTTTTGTTTTTGTGTTGAGGGGCATATGGTTAATCACTAAGTTGTTTTGGTTCTCATTTGGTATTCATTTGCTTTGTTTTCTTGTATCTTTGTGTAGATTTTACATGTTTTAATACATTTTGTGCATTTGGTTGGTTTACAAGATAAGTTCAAGACCTTCCTCCTCGTCAATGTAACAAAGTACAGTTTCTTTATGAAAAGCCTGTTTTCATTTTAGTGATAATGGGGGCAATGTTGTTTTTCCTCTGGGGGTTGTGTTTTTTTTTTCTTCCTTTCCTTTTCTTTTTACTTGCTAGATTCTGAATTCTGCCCCCTTTTTCTCTTCACTACTCCATCTCTTTAGTGCATCTCTTCCTTTTTATTTACCTTCTTTTACTCAGAAACAATGTTTTTTTTCCCTGAGCCCATGCATTTTTTAAGTGCTTTCCCCGAAGTCAATCTGCTTGTAATCTATTATATTTTTACAGTTTGAATGGACTGTCTTTTTCTGGCATTTACTTTAGATTAATCCTCAGCTCATTTCTAGTTTTACTCTTTTCACTTTTGCATAGTTTTTCTTAGATTGCCCTTGAACTATGAAGAAGCTCCTAGTGAGACTATGAGAGAAATTGCTAGGATTATGTATTTGTCTTTCTGCTGACAGGTAATTTGAAGTGTGCAATCTTTTTTTCCAATTGTTTTGCTAGGCATAATGCAGTTTTATTTTTCTTACTTTTTTATTGTTTTTAGAGATTATGCCACTATTTCTGTATTTAGGCGGCTTCCATTATTGCTAGTTTCCTAGAAGTCATTTGTTAGTGTCCTAGAAGTCATTTAAAACTCATGTTTAAGGCACACTTAATCTGTGAATTTCCCTTGCCTCTTTTTTTGTTCCTTGAACAATTTATCTGTTGAGGAAATATTTGTTTAATGTCAAATTTCCTACATTTCTGGATTTTGCTAAATGTGAACCTTCATTGTCGGTTTAAATGATATACCAGTTTATAGTGAATACAAGGGACAAAATATGTAGAGTCAAGAGTTCAGATCATATTTGGGTTTATTTTTTTTTAAGACTATGTTTTATTCTTGGTGAATGTATTCTTTTTTGGGGAGTAGAGGGTACTAGGGATCAACTAAGGGGCACTTAACTACTGAGCCACATCCCCAGCCCTTTTTATTTTTATTTCAAGACAGGATCTGGATAAGTTGCTTAGAGCCTTGCTGTGTTGCTGAGGCTGGCTTTGAACTTGCGATCCTCCTGCCTCAGCCTCCCAAGCCGCTGGGGTTACAAGTGTGGGTCTGTACTCTGGCTCTTGGTGATAGGCAGTATTACCTTTTGTGAGTGATGGATACTGTTACCTATAATCCTTTCAGGTGGTCCTTTCCCTCTTGGGTTGTTTATACACACAACAGTGTTGATTAGTATTCAACTATATACTCAGAGGTGTCCTTTTGTAGTCTTCAGAGTTCTTTCGTGGTGTATCCCTCTCTAGTATTTTGTCTTTTTGTTTCTAGTTTTCTTAATGGCCTTGCACTTGTCAACTTCATATGTTCAATTCATGGAGTCTATCAAGTTTCATCTGGGTTCTCCCTCTTTATGTCACAGCCTATAAATTATTTTAAGTAAACGGGCAGGTGTAGGATTCACAGTGGACGTTTCCCATATATTGTCTTAAAAACTGCTGTTTTGTATTCTCATTTTGTCTATTTAAGTTTCAGGCAAAAGGGTAAAGCAGGCCCCTTTTACTCCATCTTGTCCAGAAACAGATACCTGCTCATTAAATTTTAATATTTCAGGATACTCTGTTTCTGTTGATTAAAAAAGGCTAAAGAAATGATATTGTGACTATGGAGAAACAAAATACTAGGAAACAAATATGTAAGAAGAATTCTCTCCTGAAATGGGATTGTCTTTAGAGGAACACATTGTAAACAAATGGAACAAGAATTGCCAATTGAAATTCAGGTCCCAGTTTGATAGCTTTGTAAATTGTTTATAGTTTAGAACATTAGTAATGATAATGATCCTTTATTCTTGGGTTCTTTGTTTTTTCTTATCTTCTATGTGTTCTAGCTCCTTTAAACCTCGACTGAATATAATGAGAATCTGTAATAGTTAAGCCATAAAAATAATTACCACCTTTTGTTATAAATAAAAAGAGGTTTAAAAGGCAATACAAAGTGTTCTAGATTTATCAAGTGATTGGATTTAAGTATCTTTGAATGGTTATGACTATTTACTTTTCTATATGAGATTCTTTGTTAACTGGTAGGTCCTAGGTAGGTCCTATTCAACAATTTCATTGACCCAAATTCTCCATAATTCTGATTACTTTACATTGTTTAATAGTTTTCAGTAGTTTATGTTATTTCAAAAAATCTCTGCATAATATGAATTACATTTTTGCATAATTTAAAAACAACTGTAATTCTCAAATAATTCTATAACCTTAGTTTTCATTATAGTGCTATCATGTATTTACTCGGTTTTAAAGTATTTGCATATGTAATTATTGCAGACATCACAGAGATTTTCTTCAGTTGATGAACAAGTAAAACTTCATAAGGCAATGTCTCAAGGAGAGATTACGAAGTTGACAGTGAGACAGAAGTCTTCAGATTCGGATATAAGGTATAAACTAGTCACAGGATTAATAGTAATATAATTTTATTTAATGTCTGAATAGTTAAATACTGAGCTTTTGAATTAATTATTTTACTGACATTTCAAAAATAAACACCAATATTTACAGACACATAGTAGTTTAGGAACATATGTTGAGCTTTATCTTCTTATATACATTATGATTTGGGGGAAGTCTGTAAGTCATTATGTGACTTATGGTCTTTTGCTATAAAAGAGATTAGATTAGATTAGATGAGTTTGAAAATATGTTCAGGCTTTGGACTTGGTTCTGTCCTTAGCTAAGTGTTTCAGAAAAAGGTTTATAGGAAATAATTCTAATCTCTTTAAGAGAGCATATGAATTTTTTATTTTCAAATACCTTTGTGTCATGTTATGTTATATAAACATTTGGACCCTCACTGAAAACTTCTTTTTGGTTCATGACCCTATGGTAGACTAGTTCATCACTAACTGTAGGGGACTTTTCCAAGGTATCCAAATCCAGAGCAGGACATAATGGAAGTCAGAAATTGGGGAATAAGATATAACATAGTAAAAAGAACATATGCCTGGAAAGCATACCTGTTATATATTTAATTTCTACTCCCTCCCCCTACAAGAAGGACAAAACAAAATACATACACAAAACTAGAAGCAGAGTGTCTTGATAGGAGAAAGCTGAATCCTAAACCATTTGGGTAAAGCTGAGAAGGAAGTATCTAGTTTATTCCCCAGTCTTAACATAAAACAAGAAATTTATCTCTAGAAAGGATAAAACAGAAGATCGCTTAGAGTTTACAAGATTCCATTGAGGGCCAGGGCACATATTTGGAACAAGGGGATTTAAAATCCCCTAGCTTTTTTCATTTCCTTAGTTCCTACACTTATCATACTCTTTAGGAAAATGGTCCAAAGAATCCTTGGGACGTTAGTCCTCCCCCTTCCTGTAAAATTGGGCAGCCACARAACTTACAGGAAGAATATAGTTTGGAAGCCTCATTAATGCAATGCACACTAGAGTTTCTAAGCAGCATTTTAAAAATCTACTTTTAGTCATATTTAGACACCAGTAATCATCATACATTTGAGGACCATGCCTTACAATGAAGAAACCAAAACTAAGAGAAACAAATAGATAAACTTGGAGAAAATACACTATTCAGAGGATAGAAAACTTCCAGACAGATGAATGCAACTATCAATGGAACTTCTGCATAATAAATATAATTACATCCATGAAACTAAACATGGTGCATGAAAGAGAAACATTCATAATAAWAACAACTTTTGAAATTAAAAATATGAAGTCATAAAACAGCAACTCAGATTGTAAGAAAAGTGCAGAACATATCAGAAAGATGAGCAAAAAAGATAAAGAGGTGGAATTACAGGGTTTTTTTTTTTTTCTTTTTTTTGAATTACAGGTTTTTTTAGGAGATCTAATGACCCTCATGCTAGGAGTTCTGGAAAGATAGAATGGAGAAAATGGAGAGGACAAATTATTAATAGTAATTTAACTAAATTTCACAGAACTAAATGATGTAAGTTTCCAGATTGGAAGAGGCTGCTTAGTAGTCATAATGGATGAAAATAGATTCATAACCCTCCAAAAGCATGCATCATAAAAAGAAAGAGACAAAGTAATTTCCATTATGATGATGATTTTCAAATGACAGTTACATAGGAAGCAGTAAGGGAAACCACTCTAGATTGGAGCAATTTAGAAAGTGCTGGGAAGCATTTCTTCAAGATGAAATGGAGTACCTAATATGTTTGAACATATTGAAAGGAGATATATACAAAAAGAAAAACATCTGAAAATAAATTGTATGTAGAAGAGTGAGCAAATGTAAGCTGGGAATTTTGGCACCTGACTATAAGTTCAGCTCCTAGGAGACTGAGGCAGGAGGATTGCAAGTTTGAGGTCAGACTGGGCAACATAGCAAGACATAAAAAGGGCTGGGAATGTAGCTTAGTGGTAGATTGCTTCCCCAGCCTTCTGGGTTCAATTCCCAATACAAAGAAAACAAGAAAAGTGAACAATGTAAAACAAAGCAATTTTCATGAACAAATAGGAAAAAATCCCTCTAGAATACAATAGGTCATATTGGGAACTACATATCTTATCTGTGATTAGTTACATAGTAAAAATGAATACTGAATATTTCTAAAAGTAAATCCTAAATATTGAGCTACCTAAAATTAGAGTATTTGTGGAAGACAGTAAGAGTAGTGGAACATGCTGAATTGTTACCTGTGGTCGTGGTATAATAGCAATATAAATACTAAATAGCAGAAGAACCAATTATATAAATTCAAAAGGATTCCCTTGAGGAGCAGAAAGTGGGAAGAGAGTGGCAGAGGGATGCTATTGTTTTTAATAAGCCCTGTAGAATCATTTTTCTTTATAAGATATGAATATAAAAGATTAATAATTTCTTTCTTTCTCTCTCTTTTTTTTTTTTTGTAAAAACATGGGATCCAAAACCAAATAACCCTGATTTTAACTTCCATTTTCATCAGCTCTTTAAGCCTCAGTTTGCTTAAGTATAAAGTACAGATACCATACTCTCATGGTAGTTGTGAAAATTAGGAATCTAGCATATAAGGAATAATGGATGCTCAGATATTTAAAGTTTTATTTACATACTCATGTATTCACAAGTTAATATACAATAAACCTCCTAATACAAGGTTAGTATATATAATACATGGTCAGTAAGTGTGAGTGTTTTTATTATCTAGAGGTATTTCCTTGATATATATAATGAAAGAGAGTATAATCCCTTAAAAGAGGCAATATAGTATAGTAGGTGTGATTCTCAACTTTGTCTCTCACTAACTGGGTAGCTGTATGAGAGTTCCCTARTGTTTATTATTTTATTATTTTAAAATATCTTTATAGTTGTTGATAGACCTTTATTTTAATTATTTATATGTGCTGCTGAAAATCGAACCCAGTACCTCACATGACAGGCAAGTGCGCTACCACTGAGCCCCAGCCCCAGCCCTATTTTTATTTTTTGGTACCAGGAATTGAACCTAGAGGCACTAAGCCACTGAGCCACATCCCCATCCCTTTTTTATATTTATTTAGAGATAGGGTTTCCCTGAGTTGCTTAGGGCCTTGCTAAGTTACTGAGGTTGCTTTGAACTCAGGATCCTCCTGCCTTGGCCTCCCAAGCCACTGGTTTACAGGTGTGCACCACCTCACCTGGCTTTTTTTATTTTGAGACAGGGTTTAGCTAAGGTGCTGAGGCCTTGTTAAGTTGCTAAGACTGGCCTTGTCTCCCAAGTTGGTAGGATTATAGATGTGCATCACCACGTGCACTTCCTAATGTTTAAATCTCCAGTTTTTCACATGTATAATATTTATAGTACAGTTTGATTATCTCTGTTTCAAAATGTTTAGTACATTTAGTGTTTTGATTTCAGATTTTTCAAATTTTGGAATCTGCATATATATAATCAGAGATTTTGAGGATAGGAGTCAAGGCTAAACATGAAATTAAGTTCCATATACACCTGCAGTCTATATTTTGACTGAGACCTGTCACCTAAGTCTGTTGAATTTTCTACTTGTGGTGTTATAGCACTCAGAAATTTTTGTGTTTTATAGAATTTGGGATTCATATTGTTTTGAATTACAGATATTCAACTTGTAATTTGTTAGAAGTAAAGTTGTTAAATTAAAATACTCCTATATAAGCACTTAGCATTGTGCCTAAAACAAAATAAGAATTCATATAAGTAGTGGCTGTTGTTAATTATACTATTGCTAATTTTTGAATATAGTTAGTGACATTAAAATGTTTATAATAATAAAAAGATGTAAAATTATACATACATTATTATTGCAGTGATATTAAAATTGACATGGATAAAGACTGGAAAGAAATTACAAATAATGTAAAGTAATGTTTTTTGGAGTGGTTGGTGGTTAATAATGATTTATTTTAAAGTATTTTATTTGTTATTATAATATCTATATGCTAAATCCAACCTGGATGGGAGATAGTAATGATAAAATATCAATTTAGGAATTAGAAAGCCTATGTTGGAATCCTAGTTCCACTTCTTTGTACCTATTTTGTTTTAGAAAATTATTTAAATTTTCTGAGAATTATTATTTTTATATTTAAGATGAGGAAACTACCTTTTAGGTAAAGTTAAAATTGAAGGTTGAATATGATTAAATTTAAATGAGGTAATGTAAATGAAAAATTTATAAAATCTAGTATGATATACAGAATCACTGGGACATGCTGATTTCTGTCTACCTTTTTTTTTTTTTTTCCTTTCTCCTTTTAAACAGACCTCAGAGAGCTAAGATGAGATTCTGGGCCAAAGGGAAACAAGGAGAGAAGAAAACTACTAGAGTAAAACCTGCCATTCGGTCAGAGGTTTCAGCAATCTTTGCTGGTTCAGATGTGATTCCATCTCATCAGTTTCCAGATGGTAAAAATTGTCAATTTTATTTGACTCTTTTTAAAATTTTATTTAAAATTATATTTTCTATTTACTCTTCCYGAAAGTTTGCTATTTCTTTAGAATTTATAATGACAATCCTGTTGGCTGGATATTCTAATGAAGTAGGACCAGGATTGTTAAATGCTTCCTTAATAAGTAAAATTACAGTATTCCTATATTAAAAGCTCCAAGAATATGTGGCAGAAAACAATGAAGCAACAACCACCTCAGGAATGATTTTGAATCTTAGGTGAGCCTTAGTCTTCTGTACTGCCAAAATTTAGCCATTATTCATTTATTTAACAAATATGTATTTAAAAATTTTTTTTTAGTTGTAGACAGGCACAAAGCCTTTATTTTATTTATTAATTTTTATGTGGTGCTACGGATCGAACCCAGTGCCTCACATGTGACAGGCAAATGCTCTACCACGGAGCCACGACTCCAGGCCCAATCATGTATTTTTAGTATTAACAACAATAGCCCCTCTTTGAGTGCTTACTACTTGTAGGGCACTATTCTAAGCATATTACATGTATTAACTCAATTGATCCTGACAACAGTGTTGCCAGGGTTGGTATAATTATTATTCTCATCTATAAACTGAGAATAATAATTATATCAATGAGGAAGTTACTTATTTATACACATATAGTAATTTGAAGAGTTAAGATTTGAATCCAGGTAGTCCAACTCCAGAATCCACATTCTTAATCACTATTATATGTCAATGTCTACCAATGCCTAGTGCCTTATAATATAGCTATTATTTTTGTTTTGGAGCATGAATAATAACATATTTAGAAGTTCCCAATAGTTAGCTTTACTCACTCTCTAAGGATTCTAATAATTCCACTATTAGATTACCCTTCTTCCTAGGCCTTTTTCTGAGTGATGACAAAGAGATTTTTAGCTACTATGTAAAGATGTTAATTATCTTCAGGGATATACATCAGAGGTGGGTACGTGGTAATGAGTGGTTGAAATATCAGAACTAACTAAAATAGAGATCTTAAGAAGAAAGCTGTTATCTTTTAAGGAAGGATAGAATAGAATCAGTAGTAATAAGTAAGCAAAAGCTTTTCATATCTAGGACAAAATAAAGGGGCAAGGAAGAAGAATCATAAATCTTGACTTAGGAATGGATGGCCTGGAGCAGAGGCACCTGTCAGCTCAAAAGGAGTGGTAGAAATGTGTCTTGTGGCTTTGCTTCTATCTGCTAACAAACTGATATGGATAATTAGTGGATACTGCAACTTTAGTTTGGAAAACTTTGAATTTTCTCACCATTGCATTACCAAGGTGTTCAGTTTCTTATATCTTGTCTAATTGACAATAATCATTCTAAATTTTTCATTTTCCGTAATTATATTCTTTGTTGTTAATCCCAAAGATGCATAAAGATTTTAGTTGAAGTAATATTATTAGACTTTATTATGTTTGCTTTATGAAGACACCTATATAAAAATTAGAATTATAGCTTTTTATTTACATTTGGGTAAAATTTTATTAACGTAGCTCTTGATTTATAATGCTAAAATAATATTATGGACAACTTTTATAGAGTCATTTTCTTAGAAGACACTATACCAGTTGAAATAATTGGATACTTGTTATGCAATGGAATTAAAATAAGTCAATATCAATTTAAATGTACTTATATTCTGTATCTTTTTAAATATTTTTTTTTAGTTATTGGTGGACACAATGTCTTTATTTTTATCTGGTGCTGAGGATTGAACCCAGTGCCTTATGCATGCTAAGTGAACGCTCTCCCTCTGAGCCACAATACCAGCCCCATATTCTGTATCTTTATATTCTTTATTCTGGTGTCATGCTTGAGATTTAATTTGTTTCAATTCCTGCTTTAGGTGGCAGTTATTATATAGGGGACCACTCTTTTGCTTCATTATCAAAGTTAGCTTTTAGATGAAATGAGAGGCTGGGGTTGTAGCTCAGTGGTAGAGTGCTTGCCTCGCATGCATGAGGCGCTGGGTTCAATCCTCAGCGCCAATAAAAATAAAAAATATGGAATTAGAAGCATTAGACAGAGTAAGAAGCATACATGTTGGGGAAACAAGCATGTATGAAGTGAGAGGCCAACGTTCTCAACAGGCTTCAGATGGGGCTTGACAAGTCTGGTCTAGTTCTAGATTGTAAAGATTACATGGAATCATATCTCTGGTGTAAACAATTGCAGAGAAAAATTCACTGTTACAGACAAAGCCAGTTTATTTCTACAATTTTGGGAGAAATTCAGACAGTTATATAACAAAATTCTAAATACTAAATACAAAAGTAAGACAGTTAACTGTCTCCCTAACAGCTTGCCAGCTATCCCCAACTATTATCACTGAAACTTGTGGCTATAGAACATAGTAAATAAAATTAATAATTTAATAATTTTCAAATTTCACTGATTTGTTAGACTTATATATAGCTGGATATTCTTTTAAACAGATGTAGCAGAGATAAGACTAGATTAATAGTCAGTATTTAATATGCTAGTTGCATACTTTCCGCTTTTCTTTGGAACTGAGGTCTTGGGATTTAGGTTGATGTTCTGTATGTTCTATAAGGCACTTTCATCCACGTTTCCAATATCAGACCTTAGCTCTTTGGAAGATATAATAGTATTTACCATTAAAATATAGTGATAATTTTATCCAGGTATGGTGCTACTTGCCTGTAATCCCAGCAGCTCAGGAGGCTGAAAAAGTAGGATTTTGAATTCAAAGCCAGCCTCAGAAACAGCGGGGCACTAAAAGAAACTCAGTGAGACCCTATCTCTAAAGAAAATACAAATCAGGGCTGGTGATGTGGCTCAGTGGTTGAGTGTCCCTGAGTTCAATCACCGTACCAAAAAAAAAAAAAAAAGTAGTGATAATTCTTATTTACATTTTCTGTACGATTGTACAATCTGGATTTATTGTATACCTTCCTGACCACAAACATTAATGTTACTTTTCTTTTCAGATATATTGTGTATTTCCTTCAGTAACTTACTAAAGGACGTTAAAAAGAAGGGCGTGGAGATGATCAATATTTTTTACTAAACATATATTTTTGGGTATTCTATCTTGATTTGTAGAATTAACTCATTATAACCCAACACCTCCTTTGAGCCCAGAATTGCCTGGTAGTTGCCAGAAAGAATTCAAAGAGAACAAAGAGCCTTCTCCAAAGACAAAGCGAAAGCGAAGTGTGAAGATTAGCAGCGTGGCTTTGGATTCTATGCATTGGCAAAATGACTCTGTCCAAATCATAACAACTACTAGTGATTTAAAGAGCATGGATGAATTTCTTCTGAAAAAGGTACACTTTGCTTGCTGAGTTAAGCCTCTGAGCAGCTTTGATTATGGATGGATATATATGTATAAAAATAAAATGTGCTCTTCAGAGATGGTTACATATGCTTCAGTAAGTTAGATTGTTATTTAGCAGAATATAGAATATGCATTAATAGAATATGCATTAATCCAACTATATAGATGGGATGTAAGGTTTTAGGCTTTATTATTTATTATTGACTTCCAGTTCACTATAATTGCAACATTGCATTTCAGATATGAAGGTAAGGCTTGTCCTTGGCCATTTGGAATTGTTCTTATGGTAATAGAACAATAAAATCATATAGTGTTCACAGGGACCTTAGAAATTATCTAGTATTAATAAAAGTTTGCTTATAAAGTCATACTTTTACCTAGGTTGTATCATAAGAGCCTGTAGCTTCCACTTTCATGACAGGCATTGTTGAAAAGACAGTATAATTCAGCTTTTGCATTTGCCTCTTTTTAATTAGTTGATTTTATACATTTCTTTCTGTTGCCTTCAGATGCATGACCTAGATAATGAGGACAGCAAGAAGGATACACTAGTGGATGTTGTATTTAAAAAAGCCCTAAAAGAATTTAGGCAGAATATCTTCAGCTTTTATTCATCAGCATTGGCGGTAAGCTAGACTGTTAGCAGATATTCATCAATTCAACATATGGAAAATTTAATAATAATGATTTTAGAAGATAGTACAGAGGCTTTATTCAAATAGAGATTTCTCTGTTTCTTGTTTGTGTTTATAGGTAAAGAAAAGTATACCAAATGCCTCATATTAATACCTTCCCTAAATTTCCTTGAGTAGTTTTTCCATATTGTGAGCATTTTTATTGTCTTTAGGATGTTGATTCAGGTATTTTGGGTATGATTCTTTTTCACCCAGTGGCTCTGTAGTTTTTTGACTTCTCAGTCCTTTTAACTCTGTTGCCAAGCTATCATTTCCAGTTCTCCTATGTGTGGAATATATTATGCTACTTTTTCCCAGTGGAATTATGACAGCATATGTCCATTGATTTCTTTTTTTTTTTAAGTTATTTATGGATCTTTTTTGGTACATTTTTTTTAGTTGTTAATAGACATTTATTTTTTTTTATCTATTTATATGTGGTGCTGAGAATTGAACCCAAGTACCTCATACATGCTAGGCAAGCGCTCTACCACTGAGCCATAACCCCAGCCGCATGGTCATTGATTTTTGTATGACATTTTCTGGCATTCAAATTTGTCTTATACTTTCACATGATATTTGTCATATTTTAGAAAATTTATTTTTATTGCTCAGTAATGCTTTGGTCTATTGAATTATTATTAGTGTTTATAAATTATCTTTTATAAATGATTCATAACTGATTTTTCTTTGTTGTTTTTGTTCAATCTTTTTTTTTTTTTTTTTTTTTTTGGTACCTGGGATTGAATCCAGGAATGCACTGAACCACATCCCCAGCTTTTTTTGTTTTATTTTGAGACAGGGTCTCACTGAATTGCTTATGGCCTCAGTAAGTTCCTGATGCCAGGCCTCAAATTTTCGATCTTCCTGCCTCATCCTCCTGAATTGCTGGGATTATAATCATTCCCTACCACATCCAGCCTTGTTCAGTAGATTCTTCAGTTCATTGTGAAAAGAGAAATCAGAAAAACTTTTTAGTGTAAACTCTACTTTTTTATTTTCATCAGCATAAGGTTTTTATTTTGTTTGCTTGTTTTGTTGTTGTTTTGGTACTGGGGATTGAACCCAGAGACACTGTACCACCGAGTTATACTCCCAGCCTTTTTTTCCCCTAAGTTGCCAAGGCTGGTTTCAGTCTTACGATCTTCCTAGGCAATGCATAATAGTGATTTTCTAACACTGTATCAAAAAAAGGTTAGTCTCTAAATCTGAAGAGGGAAATAAATTTTAAATATTCACAATAGTTTTTCATTATTGAAAAGCTTTTTTTGTTTCTTATAAGATTCCAGATTCATTTAAACAAGTTAGAAGGAATTCCATTTAGATACTTTGCAAGTAATATTGTGGTTTTCTAAGGATGCCACTCTTCTTCAGGTAAATAGAGATAAAGAAGGTTACCTGTTATGTCATTAAGCAAAGAATCAAGTATTCTCTACAAGTATTTATTTAGAGAGTTCTCTCTAAATAAAGTTCATTTTGGGGGATATAAGTAAGAGAGACATAAATAATCTTTAGAGATAAAATTAAAAAGCTAGATGTAAGGGAGCAGTTCTCAGGTTTTGTTTATTTATTACATTGTTTAACTGTTAGGCTTTGACTAAAACTTAGGAAGTTTTATTTTTATATGAACTTAGAAGTTTATAGATACCACATGACTTCATCAGCCTGCTCATGAAGAACTTCATCAGATCCTAATTTTTATTCTAAATATTACCACTAAAAGTTTAATCAATCTTCTGTATTTAAAGAATCTCTTCATAAAACTTTACATTTCTTCTATTTTTTATTAGATGGATGATGGTAAAAGCATACGGTATAAAGACCTCTACGCACTGTTTGAACAGATTCTGGAAAAGACCATGAGGCTTGAGCAGCGTGATTGGAGTGAATCTCCAGTGAGAGTTTGGGTCAACACTTTCAAAGTGTTTTTAGATGAATACATGAATGATTTCAAGACTTCAGACAGCACAGCCACAAAGGTAAATGTGATATATTTTGATATACATGTATTTTGATATATTCAGTTATGAATCCTTTTAAAAACTGTTTAGGACAGCTAGTTTGTGAATAAAACATTATAGAAACACATCAAGTTAGTGTTATCTTAGCTCCTTCAAACTTGATTCTTTTAAGTTTGTCAGACTGTATTTTCTAAACCCTCTGCAATGAATGCCTTTTTMATTGAATTAAAGTATAGTGTGGTACCCTCAAGATTATACTCTCAGTAGGAATCAGCACATGAAATTTCCTTTTGAAAAACAATGGTTAATGATGTGATTCATTGTATTATTTAGTGGCCTTTATATAAGGACCCACCAGTTTTATTTCCCCTTGAATTAGTTTTTAGGAAAATAGGGCCTTGTGCATGCAAGGTAAGCACTCTACCAACTGAGCTATATCCCTAAACTCTATTTGTTGTTTTGATTATTTTTTTATTGGTGCATTATAATTGTAGGAGTAGGATTCATTGTGGGATATTTATMAATGCACAAAACATAGCTTTCTAGTACTTCCCCTTTCTATCCTTCCTCCCTGCCTTGATCCTTTTCTCTACCCTGCTGGTCTCTCTTCTGTTTTCATGAAATCCTTTAAAAATTTTTTTTCTCTAGATTCCACAGATGAGAGAAAACATATAACCCTTGGCTTTCTGAGCTTGGCTTATTTCATTTAATATTTCCCACAAATTTTTTCTTCTTTATGGCTAAATAAAATCCCACTCTGTATGTACACCACTTTTCTTTATCCATTCATCTGTTGATGGACACCTAGATTGGTTCCATAATTTGGCTATTCTGAATTGTGCTGGTATAAGCAAGGGTACACATGTATCATTATAGTATGCTGACTTTCTTTTGAATAAATACTGAGGAGTGGTATACTTAGCTTATGTGGTTGTTCCATTCCTAGTCTTTTAAAGAACCTCTATGTTGATTTCCATAGTGGTTGTACTAATTTGCAATCCCACCAACAGTATGTGTTTTTCTTTTTCTCACTTCCTTGATAGCATTTATTGTTTGTATTTTTAAAAAATATTTTTTAATTATCAATGGACCTTTATTTTACTTATTAATATGCAATGCTGAGAATTGAACCCAGTGACTCTCAAATGCTAGGCAAGCACTCTACCACTGAGCTACAACCTCAGCCCTCTTATTTGTATTCTTGATGGCAACTATTCTAACTGGAATGACATGAAATCTCAGTGTAGTTTTGATTTGTATTTCACTAATTGTTGAAAATGTTCTACATATGAATATTCAGGTTTCCCAGCACTATTTTTTAAAAAATCTTTTTGTTGGGCTGGGGATGTGGCTCAAGCGGTAGCGTGCCCCTCTGGCATGCRTGCGGCCTGGGTTCGATCCTCAGCACCACATAAAAACAAAGATGTTGTGTCTGCCGAAAACTAAGAAATAAAATATTAAAATTCTTTCAAAAAAAAAAAAAAGAAATCTTTTTGTTGTTCTTGTTGCCTTTGCTGGGAATTACATGACTAACTATGTGGGTTTGTCTCTGTGTTCTCTTTGATCTATGTGTCTGTTTTATGCAAGTACTATTCTGATTTTTGTTATTATACCTCTATAGTATATTTTGAAATCAGATATTGTGGTGCCACAAGTACTTCTGTTTTTGCTCACAATTGCTTTGGATGTTCTGCGTCTTTTATTCTTCAATATGAATTTTAGGACTTTTTTTTTCTAGTTCTGCGAAGATTATATTAAATCTGTGGATCACTTTTGGTAATATGGCCATTTTAACAGTATTAATTCTGCCTCACTCTGATCCTTGGAGRTCTTTCTATCTTAGCTCTGGCAAAAATTTCAAGTACTGTATTGAATAGGAGAGGTGAGGATGAACATACTTGTCTTGTTCCTCATTTTAGAGAAAGTATTTTCAGTTTTCCCCATTCAGTAGAAGACTTTGAGTTTGTCATCTATAACCTTTATGATATTGAGGTAGGTTTCTTCTAGCCCTAGTTTCTTAAGTATTTTATCATGAATGGCTGCTGAATTTGTTGTCAAAGACTCTTTTTTTGCATCTATTGAGATGACCATGTGGTTTTTGTCCTTTACTCTGTTGATGTGGTGAGTTATGTTTATTGATTTGCATATGTTAAACCGTCTTATATCCCTGGAATAAAGCCAAATTTGATTTTGGTAGATAATCTTCTTAATGTATTGTTGAGTACAGTTTGTTCATATTTTATTAAGGATTTTTGCATCTATGTTCACCAACTGTAGTTTCATTTTCTTGTTGTGTGGAATGATTTGAAGAAAACTGGCATTAGTTKTTTTTATGAAAGATCTGATAGAATTCACCTGAAAATCCATCTGGTCCTAGGCTTTTCTTTGTTGGAAGGATTTTTGTTACTCCTTCCTCTCATTACTTATTACTATTCAGCTTAGATCTTCTATATTTTTCCTATATATTTTTATATTTTTCTTACATATATTTATATATATATATTTTAATATTTTCTTGGTTCAATGTCCAGACATCCATTTTTTCTACATCTTCCAAACTATTGGAATATAATTTTCAAAATAATGATGCTGTGGATTTCAGTGATGTCTGTGGTGATACCTCCTTTTTCATCTTGAATTTTATTAATTTGGGTCTTCTTTTTCTTTGACTAATGGTTTACTAATCTTTTTTATCTTTACAAAGAACCAACTTTTATTGTGTTGATCCATTGTATTTTATTATTTTCTATATCACTAATTTCTGTTTGACTGGAAGAGTGACTGTAGTCACTTCTTTCCTTCTACTGGTTATGAAGGTTATGAAATTGTTGTTATTTTACAGAGCTTTGAAGACTTTCCTCTTAGAACTGCTTTCATAGTGTCCCAGAGATTCTGGTATGCTATATCTCTATTCTTGTTTGATTCTAAGAATTTTATATATATATATATATATATCTTTGTTTTATTTATTTATTTTTATGTGGTGCTGAGGATCGAACCCAGGACCTTACATGTGCTGGGCAAGTACTCTACCGCTAAGTCACCACCCCAGCCTCCAATTCTAAGAATTTTTAAGTTTCTCTCCTGAATTTTTTTTCATGATCTTACTTCTTCATTATTCACAGGTGTGTTGTTTAGTCTCCAACAACATGTCTTTAGTTTCTATGGTTTTTCTTGGTTTTAATCTCTAATTTCATTCAATTATGATCTCATAAGATGTGAAGATTTAAATATTTATATTTGTATTTGCTAATTTGTGGCCTAAGGTATGGTCTTTTGTGGAGAAAGTTGAGAATGATGTGTGTTCAGCTATTATGAAATGAAATGTTCTGTAGATTTGGGTCTGAAATGTCTCTGCTGATTTTATTACTAAATGGCTCTGTTGGTGAGAGAGAAATGTTGAAATTACCCACTATTACTGTTGGGGGATCCTTCTGAGCCTTTATATCAAATAGTGTTTATTTAATGTAATTAGTTGCACTGATATTTGTATATAAACGTTATCTATTGTTATATCTTTTTATTGAGTTGTTCCCTTTATCATTTTATAATGACCTTCTTTTGTCTCTTCTGATTGTCTTGAAGTCTACTTTGTTGGAAAGAGAGTAACTACCCTGTTTGCTTTCCCGTTTCTGTTTTTATAGAATATTATTTTCCATCCTTTCACTTTTATCCTATGTCTTTGCCTGTGAGGTGTGTCTCTTGTAAGCAACTTAGATTTGGGTCTTGTTTAACTTCTTCATTGCGGCTTAGTAGTCATCAGTTATTTTATCTTTTAGTTCATGGTTATCTTGGAAGGTTTATATATCTCCTTTAATTCTAAAGGATAGCTTTGCTGGATATAGCACTCTTGATTGGGAGTTTTTTTTTTTTGTTTTGTTTTTGTTTTTTCATGAGGACTTGATACATCCTTCCAAGACCTCCTGGATATGAAGGTTTCTTCTATGCAATGTTGTTATTCATACTGGTTTACTTGACATTTATCTCTTGAGGCTTATTCTGTATATTTGGCATTTAATTAAAATGTGTCATGGTTTAGTATCTGGATGCTCATTTCATTTCTAAGGTTTGAAAATATTTCTGCTGTTATTTCACTAAATAGGCTTTCAGTGCCATTAGCCTGTATCTCTATTTATTCCTCTATACCAATGGATCCTTAAGTTTGGTCTGTTAAAGCTGTCCTACAATTCTTGTGTATTTTGATTATCTTCCCTCAGAAGATAGTTTTTTATTTTCAGTGAAATGAAAATCTAACACTAGAGAGATTTAAGTTATTTCATGCCAAACTATGGAGACTTCTTATTGAACCTTCCTGATACCCATACCCATACCCCCTCTATGTTTTTCTGAACATAGAGGATAACCTCATTAACTTACCTCTGATGCAAATCAGGGAGGCATCTTCTGTTCTTGGGTATGTTTGTTCACCTATTTACTTTTTGGAGGGAGGGCCCCTGTTTGTAGCATAGTGATCAGATCTTTCCCTGGTTGGGAATGTTCTCTTGTGTGCCCACCTGTAAGAAATGCTTTATGCACCCAGAACTACCAAATAGGTGTGAGCTCACCCATGTAGATTTCAGGGTGCATGACAACTTGTGGCAGAACATGGTGGTCCAACAGTCATGGTGCTGAGTGGCTCATGGGAGGTAAAGGGTAGCTGCCCCCTGCTAGGGCTTGCACATCTGTGGGCCTGCCTCTTAGCATGCTGGGCTGTGACCAGTATCTGTGGAGCATGTATATGCAGGCTACCTCTGGCAAGTACAGTACTTCTGGGGCTTGGGTGGTGTCTGCCAGCTGCTGAGGCTTGTGCAATATCAGGTCTACATCATTCTGCTTAACATTCTGCACCCAACATCTCTGGGTGCACATTCCTGGGCTGCTTCTATGTGGCAGGCATCTGAGGGACACTTCAGTGGCATATACAGTGTTTCTGCCAAAGTTAGCTACCGGGACATGCACAGAGGTGTATATCTGTGTGCCACTCCTGTTTTGCATGGTACTACTGGTACACAGGGTGATTCTTCCTACTGGGGCTTGTGCAGCTACTGTCATGCCTAGCCATTGGCAGGCTCATGTCTGAGTGTGCTCAGAAGAGGGTCTCTCACACAGCTGTGGCTAGCAGCTGGTGCATTTGCTGCTCCCTATGTACCATACTCCCTGAGAGTGACTTGCTTTTTTGCTCCACTCTACCACACTTTCCACTTGTTGGGGTGGGGGTAGTATCAGCAACCTTCAGATAACAGTGATCCCTCTACACATATTAGTCTAACATTTCATTTTGAAGGCATTTGCTATAATGCTGTGATAGTGTTTGCTACTCTCTGTAGATGGGATAAAGACTGTGTAGATTTAATTCTTTCTAGTGAGACAGGCTTAGTTATGGTCTTTAYAATATGGCTGCACAATTTTCCCCAACAATTTGAGATTTCTTCTTCACTTCTTGCTTACTAAATGGCTTTGAATCTCCTACCCCAGCTTAACTAGATGACTTTGTTTTCTTCCATTTTTACCAAAGTAATTCTGTCAACTTTACCTTTCCCTCTTTCTCCCTTTTTTACCCTTCCCCCTTGAAAAGCCATGGTCAGGGTTTAGAGTTAAAAAATTCTTTCCTGTTTTCTGTTCCAGGAACTAAGACTTCCAATTCTTTCACTTTCCAGTATTATGTCTTATTGCATTCCCTTTGTCATCCACCTCTCTGATCAGCTGTTCTCTCACAGCTTCATCTCTGAACTGTGGAGAAGCTGAAATTTCTTGCCTAGCTTTCCCTTCCCTTCATTTGTTTTTTCTTTTTGGCCATCCTGGGAGATTGAACCCAGAGTTTAGATAAGGCAGGTGTTATACCACTGAACTACATGCCCAGGCCCTAGGCCTTTTAATTTTATTTTGAGGTATTTGGACATATCATACATACATGGAGTATGACTTCTCATTTTTGTGGTTGTATATGATGTGGAGTTACACTGGTCATGTGTTCATATATGAACATAGAATACATCTTATTCATTCTGTTGTCTTTCCCATTCCTATTCCTTCTCCCTCCCCCCAACTCTGTCCAATCTGGTGGAACCCCCCCCCTGCCCCCGCAATGTGAGTCAGCATCCACCTTTGGTTTGAGAGACCATCCGGCCTTTGGTTTTTTGGGATTAGCTTATTTCACTTAGCATGATAGTCTTTAGTTCCAAGCATTTACCAGTAAATGCCATAATTTCATCGTTCTTTAAAGCTGAGTAATATTTCACTGTGTTTGTATACCACATTTTCTTTATTCATTCATCTGTTGAAGGTCACCTATGTTGGTTTCATAGCTTAACTATTATGAATTGAGCTGTTATAAACATTGATGTGGCTGAGTCACTAAAGTATGCTGATTTTAAGTACTTTAGGTATATGTACTGAGGAGTGGGATAATGGTGGTTTCATTTCAAGTTTTCTGAGGAAATCCATACTGCTTTCCATTATGGTTGCACCAATTTGCAGTCCCACCAGCAATGTATAAGTGCATCTTCTTCCCCCACATCCATACCAACATTTATTGTTACCTGTTTTCTTGATAATTGCCATTCTGACTGAAGTGAGATGAAATCTCAGTGTAGTTTTAATTTGCATTTCTCTAATTGCTAGAGATGTTGAACATTTTTTCATATATTTATTGACTAGTCATATTTCTTCTTCTTTGAAGTTGACATACAGTCTTGCTAAGTTGCCCAGCTGGCCTCAACTTAGGATACTCCTGCCTTAGTCCCACACCCAGCTTGTTTACAAGTTTTAAAGGGCAGATTTATATTTTTCTGTACTAGGGTTATCAGGAAATGTTATATGTAAAAGAGCATTTCCTTGTTCCAAATGATAACTTACCTTTGTAGTAGAGTTTTTCATACCCAAAATGTGGAACATTTCAAAAATTAATCACTTGATTAATGATTAAAATAATTTAATGAATACTGGTGTGGCTTATGAACAGAAGCAAGGTTCAAAAAGAGTCTCAAATGGGCATGGATCTAAGGCAGGAGAATCCCAAGTTGACAGCCAATCTCAGTAACTTAGTGAGACCCTGTCTCAAAAAATAAACAAGGACTTGGGAATGTAGCTCAATTATAGAGTGCCCCTGAGTTCATTTCCCATACCAAAAAATAGAAATAAAAGAGAGAATAATCTCTAAAGTATCCTTGTATTCTGATGCTTTATTAGCACTGTGTTTTACCAACTTAAAATGTTCTCAAATTTGCTTATTAGCATTATACTTCTTCCTCTTGAAGAACTGTACCTATTGCACAAACAGCTCAATGTTTGCAAAGAAGAAAGTATGTTAATCTTTGTTATCTCAAAAATAACATTTATCCCCACCCTTTCTGCTAGGTGCCAAAAACAGAAAGAAAGAAAAGAAGAAAAAAAGAAACCGATTTGGTAAGTTATAACCTGTTTTTCATATTACAAAACAACAAATTTTCAGGATAATAGCTTGAAACACATAATAGAGTATTTCTTTTTATATATTTAAGGAATAGGTTTACCAGGCATCTAGAAGTAATAATATATGTCTTTAGAAAAATTTTGAATGACCAATGTGCCATGCTTTCAGTGGCTGGATTTGTTTTCAATGGTGGCTTACTAAAAGGCAGAAAACTGAAAATGTTTACTTATTTTAAAGGCAAAATTATGATCTCTTTTCTAACTAGATCTAGTTTGGCCTTTTTTAAAAAAATATTTTTATTAGTTGTTGATGGACCTTTATTTTATTTATTTACATGCGGTGCTGAGAATCGAACCCAGTACATCATATATGCTAGGCAAACGCTCTACCACTGAGCCACAACCACAGCCCCTAGTTTGGCTTTTATTGAACACCTCATGTAGATGGAATCTCATATGGTTTTTGTATGTGGCTTCTTAGCATAATGGTAACTCAACAGTTAAAATGTTCAGAAAATGCGAACTGTTTCCCAGGTGACTATACCATTTCAGAATCACACCTGCAAAATTCTGAAAGTTCCAGTCACTTCACATCTTCACCAACCCTTGTTATTGTCTATCCTTGGTGATGAAGTAGTATCTTACTGTCCTTTTAATTTACATTTCTCTCATGAGTAATGGTGTTAAAACATGTTTCCATATATCTCTTGGAGGATTGTACTTCTTTGCTGAAATGTTTGGTCAATATATTGTCTGCTTTTTAATTGGGTTGCTTAATATTTGCATATAACCTTTCTTTATATATTCTGGATGGATGTTCTTTATCAGATATATAACTTGCAAATATTTTTTCTGAGTATAGCTCATCATTATTTTTCTTTAATTTTAATTAATAACTCATATCAATTGTACAGATTAAAGGTTTTCCCTGTGACATTTCCATAGATGCAAATATTGTGATGTGTTTGAATTCACCTTTCCCAGTACCCTTTGTTGCCCTCTTCTTTCTTTGCACTTCAAGTCCCTCTTCTATTTTTAGGTCATCTGTTTTTCTCTCTTCAGTTTCCACACAAGAGAAAAGGTGTGATACTTGTCTTTCCTTGTCTGTCTTATTCTGCTTAACATGATTATCTCCATGATATCGTCATCCATTTTTCTATGTACCTTTCATTCTTACTTATGGCTAAACAATATTCTATTGTGTACATATGCTACAACATGTGGAAATGTTTCCCATAGGTTGTCTTCTAGTGGTTCAAAGTTTCAAGTCTTACATTAAGGTCTTTATCCACTTTGAGCTGATTTTTATACAGGGTGAAAGGTAGCACTCTAATTTCAACCTTCTACATGGGTATGTCTTATTGTCCCATCACTATTTGTTGAAGAGGCTGTCTTTCCTCCTGTGTGTTTTTAATGTCTTTGTCAAAAATCATTTGGCTATAGATTCATGATTTTGAGTTCTCTATTCTGTTCCACTGTTCTTTACGTTTGTTTTTATGCCAATACCATACTTTTTTTTTTTAACCATGGCTTTGTAGTATATTTGAAAATTTTATTTATTTTTCTTGCCTAATTGCCTAAATGCTTTCAATTGATCATAGACTTTTTAGTAAATGAATGGATAAAGAAAATGTGGTGTATATATTCACAATGGAATATTACTCAGCAATAAAAGAGAATAAAATCATGGCATTTGCAGGTAAATGGATGGAGTTGGAGAATATGATGCTAAGTGAAGTTAGGCAATCCCTAAAAAACCAAATGCCAAATGTTTCCTCTGATACAAGGAGGCTGATTCATAGTGGAGTTGGGAGGGGGAGTATGGGGAAGGTTAGACAAACTCTAGATAGGGCAAAGGGAGGGAGAAGAAGGGAGAGGGCAAAGGGGTAAAAAAGATGGTGGAATGAGTTTGACATCATTGCCCTAAGTACATGTGTGAAGACACAAATGGTGTGAATATATACAACCTGACCTATTATTCTTCAAATGTGTATTGTTCAGTATCCATGTGTTTATATAGTTTTCTCCCTCTGATTTATAGTTTTGTTTTGATATGATCTGAAAAGATGCAAGAAATTATTTGTTTCCATGTATTAGACTTGCTTAATTGCCTGAAAGTATGATCAGTTTTGGAAAAAGTTTTATGAGCTGATAAAAAGAATGTGTATTCTGCAACTGTTGAAATAGTCTATATCTATTGAGTTTATTTGATCTCTAGTGTAATTTAATTCTTATTTTGTTTGTTTTGTGTGTATGATTATCTATTTATTGGTAAGAATTAGGTATTAAGTCACCTACTTTTGTACTGAGGTCTATCTTTTCCTTTATGTTATGTCTAGTAATGTTTGTGTTGTAAGATTAAGTGCTCCAACTTCTAGTCCACGTATTTTTACAATTGTTATACTTTCTATATAGATTGTTCCCTTTATCAATATATAGTGACTAGCTTTGTCTTTTCTGCCTGATTTTGGCTTGAAGTCTGCTTGTTGGAGATGAGTATAACTATTTCTGCTTGATTTCAGATTCTATTTCCTTACAAAATCATTTTCCAACCTTTTACTTTCAGTCTGAATGTCTTTGCTGATGATGTCAGTTTTTTGCAGGCAGCAAATTTTGGGGTCTTGTTTTTTAATCTGCATCTTTCAGTTGGAGAATTAAGGATATTATTGAAAAGTATATGCTAGATCCTATCATTTTGTTGTTTTTCTTCTGGTTATTTTGAATAATATATGTTGATTACCTTCTCCTTAAGTTGTGGAGATTTGATGGTTGACTGAATTAACCATGTTTGATTTATTCCTAATTCTCACTTGCTTATCTGTTCTTCTAATGAGATTTATACTTTCTTAAGCTCTCATGACTGTACTTATCTTGCTGGGTATAAGAGTCTTTCACGTATCCTCTGTACTAGTTTGGTGGTCATGCATTCCTTTAGTTTATGCTTTTCTTGTAAGGTTATTATTCTTTCTTTGATTTTGAAGGATAACTTTGGAGGATCTAGTTACATAGGTTGAAGTTATTTTCTTTTTGAAATACATCATTCCATGCTCTACTGACCCTTAGAGTTTCTGAGAAATCTGTGATTAAAATGGGTTTGTCTTTGTGACTCAGTACTTTTTTGTGAAGCTTTAAATATTCTTTTCTTGTTCTGTACTTTGGGTAGTTCAACTGTAAGAAACCCTGGAGATTTCTTTTTTGGTCATGCATATTTGAAGTTTTCCTGTATTTGAATGGTATCTTCAATAATAATACTTATTATTTCACTGACTGGCTTTTTTATACCTTTAACCTGTAGCTCAAATTCCTTATCTATTTCTATTATGTGTGTGTTTCATCCTTTAATCATTCCCCATAGATCTGTATGTTCTGTTCTTATAACTGTCTTAATTCCACTTTAAAATCTTCATTCCGCTTTAAAATCTTAGGAATTATCAATTACTGAGTGGAGCCATATTGCTTCAATTTTTTTCATATTTCTTTTGTTTCTCTGGTGTAATTTATGCAGCCTTTGGGTTAGAAATATCTTCCACTTTTTTGTGAGGTTCTTTTTAGGGAGCAGCTTTTTTTTTTTWWAAAAAAATGACATTCCCTGGGAAATTATTTGTTGTATAACATTGAATTTAATTCCAAATGGACTTCTTAGTTTCGTTCCCCTGTGGCTTTTTTGGCTGTGATTTTTTTGACAAAAAAAAAAATGCTATTTCAGACCCTGAATGACCCACTCTTTCTGTAGATCTCATAAGAATGGGGATCCTATGGAAGATACGTTGTAGATAGCAGAGAATATGGAGTACACTCTCTGTGATTACTATTTTATTCTTGTCAGCAGCATGCAGCCTTAAAGAGTATATGAGTGAGGTGTGCTGAGGTACCTCACAGGTGTGGTATCCACAACAATCATCCTATTTCTCTCTGTTGTTGCTCTGGGAGTGAATGACCAGGAGTGAGACTTTAGAGCCACTCCCCAGCTATTCCTGCTCATGACTAGGTGATTGGCTGGGGCCTTTTATGTCCTCCAGTCTTTACATTGAGGTGCCAACTAAGGTTTGAGTGGGACTAGAATTGTGGCTGGATTGATATACAATTTCTCTCACTTGGGCTTGGGGGTACAACTTAGCAGCAAATCACCAATACCATGCTTGAAGCATTGGGCTCAATCCCCAGCAATACTCAGAAAGAAACAAGCAGCAGTGACAACCACAACACCAATGTAAATAGAAAAGGGATAAACTAAATAGTTAAGAAAAAGTTAAAAGTTTTTGAAAATTACCATTAAATAAAAATAAAAAGGGAGAAAAGATGAAGAAGAAGAAAAAGATCCAATTAAAGAATTTTTAAATGGAGGAAGGAAGAAAATATTTAAAGGGGGAGAAAAGGGAGGATAGGAATGGGAAAGACAGTGGAATGAATTGGATATAACTATCCTATGTTCATATATGAATACACCATCAGTATTAACGCCACATCATGTACAGCATTCTCACAGAATGAGAAATTATATTCCATGTATGTATGAATGTCAAAATACATTTTACTGTCATGTGTAACTAAAAATACCAAAAAAAAAAAAAAAAACGGGGTAAGAAAAAGAAGAAAATTCAAACCAAATAGGTATAATCAAAAGAGTCTTAATAAAAAATAATAATTTTCTGTAACCAAAGTGGTTAATTATAAGAGTGGATGTTCATAGCCGGGGCTAAATAGATCTTTCTGTGATCTTGTATGTTATGTGTCTCTTGGAGACAGCATTGGCTTTGGTTTATTCATCTTTTTTTTTTTTTTCCTCTTGTGTTGCTTGCCAGGCAACCAGCAGAAGGGTTTTGTAATTGGAGCCAATAGTAATACTTATCAGCTGCCCTGCTGGCCATTATGGGCTAGGGCAGAACCCAGAGCTTTTCCTGGCAGAGATTTATTACAGTATTATTTGCTTTCTGYATTCATAGGACAGAGCTGATATGGTAGCTTCAGTGCACAATGTCTCCAGCACTTTTTTTAAAAAAAAGTCAGGGCAGGGAAATGCTGTGAGACTATAACTATCGGGGCTGCAGTGACAGTTACCACATACACTCTACAACTCTGGTATTCTAATACCTAGCAGCCATTGTGGAATCACATGGTGGCTAATTCCCCCAACTCCCATAGTTGACTTTCTAAGTTGCTGGTCCTAAAGGGAAAGTAACTTTGGTACTCTTAGATGTTAGAGTAGTTTCCTGCCACACAGGACTCTCAGCAGTTTAGTTAGAGAGACTATCACCTGGAGCCAAAGTAGCTCTCAAATCAGATGTTCACGGGTTCAGTCTATAAGTATTTGCTTTGGGTTCCCAGGGTCAAATAAATGCAGGGACCTTTGACATCCAGAGCAGCAAGCTCAGACAAGACCCTCTCAGAATGACTCCCTGCTACAGCACCACAAGTATATGCTGGGAGGTAGGCGGAATGGGCCAGAATGGTAGGTGGATCCTCAGGTCCACTGTCTTTTCTCAGACTGTCCTTCTGCACTGTGCTGAGTCCTGTGCTACCTATGTTCTCTGAGTCTCTCCTCCTTTCTTTCACCTCTACCCTCATTCTCTACTGTACTGCCACATATTTAGCACTGAGCACTTTGTCTTATCCTCTCTTCACTATCCAAAGTCTCTGTCTTCTCCATTGAACTTCAGTATTTTCCCACATTTACACACCTCGGTGGTTAGCTGCTCTCCATTTGTTTTGATTTATATCTTAAGAAGAAGCCAATGAGTGCTGGTTGCCTTTAATCTGCTATCTTGAGTCCCCCCACCCGCTTTTTTTTTCCCTTAAAGTCTTAATTTTTTTTCCTTAAGTTTTAATTTTCTTTGGCAGGAGGTATTAGGTATTGAACTCATTGAGTTGCTTAGCGCCTCATTTATGCTGAGGCTGGCTTTGAATTTTTGATCCTCCTGCCTCACTCAGCCTCTCAAGCTTCTGGGATTATAGGCATGCACCACTATGCCTTGCAAGTTTTAAATTTCAATGAAATTTAAAATAGATTTTACAGAACATTAGAGTTCATTTGTATGTTTTTTTTTATTTTATATTTTAAGTAGCCTTTAATAACCATTTGTCAAGTTTTAATATAGAATCATTGTCTGAAAAGATTATTAAAATATTCCTACATTGTCCAGTTTCATATCTGTTTTCTTCCTATATTTCAAGGTAAACTGCATGCTGCAAAAGTTTGAGGCAAAAGTGGATATAAGAATATAGGTATCTTTCATTGAACCAGAAATCAAAGAGATCTACAAAAATATACAATAATACTTTTGTCACTTTTTGCTTTAAAGATATAATTATCTTTAATTAAAATATTATTTATGTTAATGTGCAATGTTTGTTAAATGTAATTGAAGTAATACATTTAACTTTTTAGTTTTAATTTCTAGGATATTTATTAAAATATTTTGGGATTATAAAAGCAAATAAATTTGTGAACTACTGCTTTTGATTTAATATTCTGACTCACATAAGTCACATAAGATAGCTGTTATGTTTGTTCATTGCTGTTTTTCCTTCCCTGTGGTACTGGGGATTCAATTCCAGGAGCACACTCTACCACTGAGCTACATCCCCAGTCCTTTTTAAAAAAATTATTTCCATTTTAAAAGAGTCTTACTATGTTGCCCTGTCTGGCTTTGAACTTTCCATTCTCCTGCCTTAGCCTCCCAAGAGGCTGGGGTTACAGGCATTTGTCACTGTTCATGGATATTTTTCATATATGTTGGTCATGTTTATCTAGACCGTTAACATTTAGAAAACAAGGGCCATATGTTTTGTTTCTAAAGGATCATAATTCTCCCCCTGGAATAAGTGTCCAGTGAAAGGTTAGTAAGGGATTGATGTATTTCCCATTTGCCTACAATGTTAGGGCAGCATTTAATGTGTTGGCTTTCATATAAATAGCTTAATTTTTCATTCAGGTGGAAGAGCACAATGGTCACATTTTTAAGGCCACCCAATATAGCATCCCTACATACTGTGAATACTGTTCTTCTTTAATTTGGATAATGGACCGAGCCTCTGTTTGCAAATGTAAGTATGAAAGATCTTTGAGGAATGCCACCCTAGCCGCTAACTAATTTTAGTAGTCTTATACTTTCACAACCTGAAATTACATTAAAATATTTATGTGTTTTCTTATTTGTCAGTCTCTTACACTTAGGATCAAGAATCTTATTTATCAGTGCCATAACAGTTCAAACACATAGTTACAGTAAATATTTATCGGGTAGATGGACCTGTAGATGAATGAATGAATTCTTAGTTTATAGCCAAAAAGGTACATTTTATACTACACTCCCCTTCAACAGAATATGTGAATTCTATAATGTGAATAGAGACTTTTCATATATCAGTTGGGTTCTGACTAATAGTGGATCTTTTGCTTCTACTCCTCTTATTTTAGATATATACTTTGGTGCTATCAGTAATTCTGTGAGACTTTGCTTTTGCTAGATGGCCTGAGATAAATAAAGGGAATATTAGAAAAGTCCAGTATGACAGAATAAAAGTTATGTTTGCCAGAGCAAAATCACCACTATTCCTGGATTAGCTCACTGGTTGTATAGTGCAACACCAGTTTTTCTTTTTTAAAAAATTGAATGCTTCATGAATTTGCACATTTTCCTTGCACTGGGCCATCTAATAATCTCATTCCAATTTTAGTATATGTGTTACTGAAGCAAGTGCTTTTTTCATTTTATTATGACTAATTTAAGAAATTATGAGAATGAAAATAGGAGTAGTTTGAAATGTGACTGTTAGTCCAGTTATTGAAGGTTCGGAGTAATTTCTAGTATGACATAAAGCTGAAAGTTTGCTTTTTTATAACTAAGGTGGGCTTGGTTTGAGTTTTTCATGGAATTAACTTTCTATGTGATTATCCTGGTGATTTCACCAGTGCAGTGAATGTCCCCTCACCTTCCCCCGACCTTGATCTTGGCTTTGAAAACCCAAAAAGTTATACTTTGAAAGCTTAAAAGGGGGGATATTAAGGTGTTGGTATGCTGGAACTGGAGCTGGTGTTTTATTATCTTCCCATTTACAACTAATATACTTTATATTCTGGTTTTCATTTCCTTACGGGTTTTTGACAGTAATGCCATCCTTACCATAATAATAATTCTTAATATGTAATTCTGGTGTTTTAGCAAGTTGTAAAGCACCTGGAGTAACATGAACACTAATTTATGAATCAAACCACAAAGTTAGATAAATATCCTGTTGGAATTTGGGAGAGTTAAGTACAGGAGCAGGACAGGCAATCTTGAAAGAATGAAAAAGCTGTCTCATTGATGGTGGTGAGAAATGTTAGGCATGTTTTCCAACTGCATTTTAAATTCTTTAACACAGAACAGAGTTTATATATGCTCTTATAACAGCCTCAGATCTAAATAATAAACCTTATTGTCAAAGTAAAATTATAAACGTGATAAGTTTATTAACAGACTTATGAAAATGCTACATTCTTAACCTTTTTTTCAGTATGCAAGTATGCTTGCCATAAGAAGTGCTGTCTGAAAACCACAGCCAAGTGTTCTAAAAAGGTAAGAATTTATCACCTGTCCATAATAAACAACAGATCTGTAGGTCTTTTGTGACTCATGGAAAGAAATCAAGGCCTCTTTGATGTTTATTATTTAGAGTTCCTAAACTTATGACCACACATACAATAAGAAATTAAATTTATGTCATGATCCAACACATACACAGGGAGATGAGTATATATAACTGAATTTAATTTTCTGAAATTGTATTACCTTTACTACATATGTGATAACAAATTGATTTCACAAACCACAATTTACCTCTTTAAACCCTCAATCTTTTTAGGAAGGTGAAAAGCTGCAATTAAAAATGAATGAACTTAGGGTCTTGGAACTTAGCCCAGTGCTGGAGCACTTGCCTAGCATGCATGAGACTCTAAGTTCAATCCCCAGTACTGCAAAAAAAAAATTTAACCATGAAGAGCAAAATGCACCAGCATAATTAGAAGGCTAAAAGATACTGACCAATTTACCCTTTGATACTCTATGCTTCCAGGAAGCAACTTTTAAAAAAAAATTCTAGATGTATATTGATGTATAATATCACTTTCTTATTTATTAATTACATACTGACAATTGTTGAAATACTATGTAAATATGAACAATATAAATGTACATGCATTTTGTTTATAGCCTATGTATAGAATTTGCATATGTTCCAAATTAGTAGACAAATAATGGCAAAGTATAGAGTCAAATTTTATTTAGGACTTAAAATATAATGAAGGGGAGATATTTTGCTTCAAGCTAATATAGATTAGCTTGTGGCAGACCAATACTAAAAAAGTCTGTTGGCAAGAGTCAAAACAGCTACCCAGGTAAAATAGACTTGAAGAGATTAGAGATCCTAGAAAGAACAGAATGCAGAGTAGTAAACCTGTATTTTGTGATACTTTTATCATATGGAAATATTTCACTTTTTGTTGTAGACCATGAAGCCAGTATTTTGGATAGTGGGCCACATTTAAGAATCAGAGAAGCCAGCAGAGATTTTAGCAATCATAGGACCAAAGAGACAAATTTTTGGAGTTTAACTCTGCCAAGACTTGAGGGATCATGATTCATTCACATAGAGAAGTAAGCCTGAAACACAGATTTTTTTTCCCTCTCAAGGCATTTTTTTTTATTCCTTTATCTGTGCATGGCAAACAGCTAAGAAACTAATCAGAAAAGGATATTGGCATTTTCCACCAGTTATRCACTGCTAAAGAAAGGGAAATTCAAATTGTAGTATCCACCATCAAAGGGAAAGGAGCCTAGTCTATACCTCAGACTCTCACTGAGACCTCTGAAAAACTATATCCTGTGAATGGGAGTGAACCACTGACAGACCCGCCTTAACAACAACAACAAAAACAAACAAAAAAACCCCAGCAAACTAGCTTTGAAGCAGTTGTTGCTTGGATTATGTATTCTTATTCCATTGACCCACCAGAGAGAAGAGGGTAAAACCATTTAAGAGATTACCTCATCCAGAGTCTTCTGTAATATCAGACATAAAGAAATGGTACTAATTAGTAAACAAATAGGCAATAACTAGGATTCAGATAACTAGTTACTAGATATATACTTTAAAATTTTTAATATATATGCTCAAATAATAGATAGAAGCATGGAGAAATTTTTAAAAAATAGTTGAGTATATGTTTTGAAGGAATCAATAGGGAATTRTAGAAATAAAAGATGAGTTTAACATCCATAGCAGAAAAGAAGATTGGTGAACTAAAAGATAGACCAGTGTAACTATCTAGGCATAGAAAGTGAAAAGAATGTAAAAATAAAAATATAAATATATGAAACATAGGGAAGGGATGGAAGATGCTTTTTTTAAAAAATCCTTTTTATAGTTGTAGGTGCACAGCTTGCCTTTATTTATTTTTTTATGTGGTGCTGAGGATCAAACCCAGTGCCTCAAGCATGCTAGGCAAGTGCTCTACCATGAGCTACAGCCCCAGCCCGAAGGTTCTTAATTATATGTAATTGGGAATCAGCAAGAAAGGAGAAAGAACAGGGCAGAAGCAACATTTTAAGAGAGAATAGTCAACACATCAAGTCACAAGTTCACAAGTACTTTTAACCTGGACAAATACAAAGCAAACCACACCTAGATGTACAGTGCTACAAACCAAAGATATTTTTTCCCTTTTGTTTTTGAAATGAAGTCTTGCTGCATTGCTTAAGGCTGATGTTGAACTCCAGCCCTGCCTCAGCCTCCCAGGTTGCTGAGATATAGAAATGTACCACCACACCTGGCAAAATTTCTTAAAAGCAATTAGAGGGGAAAGAATAAATACTACTAGAGGAGCAAAGAAAATCCTGCTCCAGTTAGTTGACTTCTAAACAGAAATGTTGGAAACCAAAAGATGGTGGCTTGACATCTTTTAAGAAAAGAAAGTCAACTGCTGGGCATGATGGTGCATGCCTATAATTTCAGTGGCTTGGGAGGCTGAGACGGAAGGATTGAGAGTTCAAATCCAGCCTCAGCAACTTAGTGAGGCACTAAGCAACTCAGCAAGACCATGTCTAAATAAACTATTAAAAAAGGGCTGGGGGCACTGGGGTTGTGGCTCAATGGTAGAGCATTTGCCTCAGATGTGTGAGGCACTGGGTTGGATTTTCAGCACTGTATATAAATAAATGAAAAAAAAATTCCAAGGTCCATAAGTCATCTAGGAAGTGGTAAAAATACTAAAAATATTAGACTTAAATATGTATGGATATGTTTTGTTGCAATCTCCAAATTAACGACTAAATATATATATATATATATAACTGAAAAATTAATAAAGACAATAAAGTAGAAGAACGAAATACTTGATTAAAGTAAATGAGGGCAAGAAATGAGAGAAAATACATAAAATAGGGTGGACAAAAATAGACATAGTAAGTCCAAATATATTGGTGCCTTATATTAAATAAGCTAAATACTCCAAACAAAAAGCTAAGTTAAAACCAACTGAAAAATCTTTTATGAAAGAGATGTACTTATTAAGTATAAAGATAGAAAGTTTAAAAGCAAAAGAATGGAACTATATACAGCATGCAAAGACTAATCAATAGAAAGGTAGTATAGCTCTACTAATATTAAAATGTACTTTTTAAGGCAAAAAGTATTACTTCATGTGCTTTATGATGATGATGATGAAAGGGTCAGCCTATTGGGGAGATATAAAATTCTAATCCTCTAACATTAGTTTCAATACCTAATAGAAAAAAATAAGGATGAAAATAATATGAAAAACTTGATGTAATTGGCATATATTGAACCTTCCTATGTTAATAAATCACCATTCTGAGATGTTCCAAAGCTAAAAGAAACATAAATGTCCAGTTCTGAATTTTTAATTGAATAAATAAATTGTGGTATTTCTGTATAATGGAATACTTCATAGCAATGAGATTAAACTGTTGGTACTCATAAATATAGGTTAAATGAGAGAATCCACAGACAAATACTGTTATTGTGTTTAAATAAAGTTCAAAAATAGATAGACCTCATGGTGTACATATTATACAACTTGATTTCTATAATGTTCAAAGGCAAGCAAAACTAATTTATACTGATAGAAAAAGAGATAATAGTTTTATTTGTGAAGGACAAAGGTCATAGTAAGTGAGAGGGATTTAGAGACTTTTAGAGTATTGGTAATACTCCATTTCTTGTTTTGGATTCTGTGAAGTGTGCATTTACTTTCTGAAAATCTGTTAAGCTTTATACTTTTCTATGTGTATGTCCTGCTTCAATAAAATTTTATTTAAAGTATACATTGAAGCTAATTATAAAAACATATTTCTGAAAAGTGTCAAACTACTTTTGGCTGTGTGTAGTCGCACATTCCTATTATCCCAGCAACTCTGGAGGCTGAGGCAGAAGGATTCACAGGTTCAGGCCAGCTTCAATAACTTACTGAGGCCTTAAGCAACTTAGTTAGATCCTGTCTCAAAACAAAATATAAGAAAAAAAGGGCTGTGGGTATAGCTCAGTGTTAGAGTGCCCCTGGGTTTAATCCCCAGTACCCCAACACAAAACAAAATCCCATTATTGGTTTCAAATTGAAAAATTTTTAGTTTGATAGTCTCAAAATTTTTATTTATTTATTTTGCTTTCACAAGCCTTAACATTTCTAATGCCATAAGGAGAGCCATAACATTTAAATAAATAGATTATATGTGTTTGTCAGAGTAATAGCAAAAATTTTGGCTTATGTTTATTTTAATCATTATAGCAAGCATTATTATATTTTAAAAAATAATTTATTGCGTATTTACCATGTACCAGATACCGTACTGGTGTTCAACTTAATCTTCTACACCTTTGAGGTAGAAAGGTGGTATTACTGTTGGAAATGTGAAATAACCTAGCCAAGTTTATATAGTGACGATGCAAAAATATAAACCTGCATCCTTTAAACATTTGAAGAGTAAGTGTACTTTTTCTTTTGCCTAAAACCTACCAGTACTTTTCAGAGATGGTGCCTAATATTAACTTAAGATAACTTAATATGCTTCAATAAATATTAAATTAATTCTCAAATGCTAAAACACAGAGTACGAAGATGCAAAATAATACAAAACTGAGTGTTGTCTTCTACTAATTTCCTTACCTGTCAGAATAAGACCCAGATTCCATAACTTAGTATTCAAAACCCCTTATAATCTCATTTTTAGTTGAGTCATATTTTTCATTGCTCAGCTTTGTATTTCTGTTTCTTGAGCCTAAAAGGTTCTTTTTTTGCCTTCTTATATACTACATGCTTTCCAACAATTATTTTAAGTAGGAAGTCTTTGAGACCTTTAGTTGTTACCCAGCCCAGTCTTTTTCCTGATCTAACTGTCTCTCTTCTGTGTTTCCATAATAACCTAATAAATCTGTTTCTCCACAAGCTAATACTATGGTCTTAGCATCAGTCTTAGGGAAAGGACTGTCCCTTGATTTTGCTCCCCTGCTATCTAGCACATAAAAATGAATGAATTTACCTATGGAAAGAGAAATTAGGATCAATTTAAGTAAGGTGTTGAATGTTAGTCTCAGAAATGTTTGTTGTTTATTTTGATATATACTAATTAGCCACTGAAAGTTTCTGAGGTTAAATAAAGTGGATTATGTATAGTATATAATATTTAAAAGAGAAAAAAATGAGTGTGGGAAAATTGGTCTTGAAGCTGTTGGAATACAACAAGTGGGTAGTGATAGAAGTTGAATTAGGATAATGACAGTAAGTGCAGAAAAGAAAAAATAGCATGTACTGAGTAACCAAAAGAACTTGGCAACTATTTTGGTGCAGGTTGAAGAAGAAAGTGGGGTGTACAGATTTCAGTTAAAGGAGGAGAATGGTAGAAGAAAAGAAAAGATTTATAAGAAGGGTTTCAGTCTCAGGAATAATGCCTGGCATTTTTCTTTTCTGTGAATTGCTTCAGATAATGGTTAGAATGAGCAGTTTTGTTGCAGTCACATAAGCTATAGTTAATAAGTTATGGTAGTGTACACACTATTAAAGTCAATAAAGGTGCTMTAATACTATTCAGAGGCCAGTCTGTGTGAGTCTTTGTCTTTGGGTATGAAATCAGTTCTTTGAAATATTAAAGCAGTATCCAGAAATTACAACTCTAATTCCTATAAAATCTGGGTACCTGGTAAATGTTCAAGCTTTTTGTGTACAAAATCCAACCTCCTTCACCAACACACAAACCTTACCTTTGTATGAAGATTTTTTGATAGGAAGGGAAGTAGCAGCCCATCACTGCCTCTGTCTTCCACTCTCTTTTGGGGAATCCTAGTGTGAGGATTGAAACTAATATTTATTTAACCATGCCTCCCCTCACAACTATTATAACTGTCTTCATAAAACTTTAGGATAATAAAAAGTAGTTCCTCTTAAAGAATAAAGATGTTTGAATATATTTGGAATCAAAAAATTGTCTTCCATTTAGTATGATCCAGAACTGTCATCTCGACAATTTGGGGTTGAACTGTCCCGTTTGACCAGTGAAGACCGAACTGTTCCTTTAGTGGTGGAAAAGCTCATAAACTACATTGAAATGCATGGACTTTATACAGAAGGTATTTACCGAAAGTCTGGTTCAACTAATAAAATCAAGGAGCTTCGACAAGGTCTAGATACAGGTAAGATGATGCTCTCCAAATCAAGACTTATTTAAATAAAAATATTTAATCATTTCAAGCTTTTAAAGTTTTCTTTATGTATTGATCCTTTGCTTACAGCCAGAAGAATGCAGTCTTTTCTGTGATACTTGTTTGTCATTTTGTGTCTTTCTAAAGAATCTTTGGCTTTATGTAGTTAATTCAGCAAACATATATTGAGTATATCATTTGTACAAGGCATCCTTAGGTACTAGAAAAAGATTTAATACCTTTTTAATGTTTAGTGCTTTTCCAGTGCATCTTTCTGCCTTCCTACATTGATGATGTGGTTACTTAAACTGACAGTGATTTGGGCACTGTATAGAGCTGTGGCCTCAGTCCAGAAATATGTGCAGGGGGTTGACTTTGGTTTCATTCTCAATTTCTACTCTCTATCACTATTAGAAAGGTATGGTTCTAGAGAGAGGGGGAGGGGGAGCAGAAAATCCCTTAAGCTCACCCACTTTTAAAAGTCAGACAAAATTCAAATTTCAACAGTAACAGGGGGGTCCTTAAAACAGAGCAAGCAACTTAAAATCTTAAAAACTAAGCTGGGGTCCACAACCTTTTTGGAGCCTTATGCTGACCTGTAATCACCTCATATCAATGTGGAATCTTCCCATGTCCAGATAGCTACAAATTAAACCAGAGGGAAGTCTCCTTTGTGGGACTTCCTAAGAATCCAACCAGAAAGAACTTCTAGAATGAGCATACCACTGGCCAAAATAATTGAAACTGCCTCTTGCTCACCCTCACTGTGAACAAGAGGAAAGGGCTGGTGAGGACCTGTGCCACAAACTGGCACCTAACCCTGCTCAGCCTGACCCTGGCAAGGGTGGAAAATTTTGCATGGTATTCACTCACTGGGCTCAGACAGCAATGAAGCAGCTTTGGCCCCAAACAGAGGAAAGCAGATTCCCAGGCCCCAACCACTGACACTGGGGAGAGACATCATGGGAAGCCTAGAGATTTCAGGGCTATACCAGAAGGAAGTATAGCTCCTTTGGAAGGGACTGCACCCAGCCTTAACAGGTGCATAGTCTGACCTATGATCATAATGGGCAAGTGAAAGGGCATTGTTTGGATACTTGTGGGGCCTTGTATCAGACTTGGTAAACAGAGGGAATCAGTGCCTGCCATTCACAACCCGGGGCACTGGAAACTAGGACCCAAGTGAACCACCTGAGACCCTTCACTACAGTACCTCAGAGAGCAGCATCAGCTTTGGGAATATTTCTGAACCACAGAACACCCAGGGAAAACCAGGATCTAATTACCATGAAAAAGATCCTGTAGAGGAAAGCAGGTACACAGTAACCCACAGCAATCAGGGACACTCCAGAGCTTGCATCCTAAACTATAGCACACAATAGATACAGCCAACCCATAATACTACACCTGCTGAGCTGACAAACCAGATGCTGCTGATGAAAGGTTCATAGCAACTAGGGAGTTGGTTTCTGTGCTCCTGTAGCTCTGGAGAGTTCCACAGCCAAAAACTGATAGCCATTTGCTAAATGTCCAAACCCCAGTGCAATCCAAACCAATATTCACCAGGAGTTTTCTTTGCCTTGACATGGTTTACTACAAACAATGTCGACCTTGGTTATAGTAACTCTTTAACTTGAATAATAGTTGTTAACCCAGTAGACAACATTGTACCCTCAACCCAATTTAATGTATTTCATCTACTAATTAGAACATTAATTGGAATAAATCTTTTGTCTTCTTTTCTCTCTCTCTCTCTTTTTCCCCCTCTCCTTTTTTGCCCATCTTTCTTCCTCCCCCACTGTAGACCTCACTTTAGATTATAGTAATTTCACTAAATTTAACAGCAAATATTTTGACCTATTTCATAATTTTATTATAGGTTTACACCTAAATTTCAGAAACTGTGGAGAACAATTGTAACAAGTTTTTGTTTCTTATATAATCTAATAGAATAAGGCTTGGCTCTGAAGTGATTATAATATAAATAGGGCTCAGTGTAGTATCTTTTAAATTGGTGTTATTGGGATCAGCAGAGGTCACACACTGACTTAAAATATCATTATATGGATGTTTACTCAATCTAGGGCTCTTAAGAGAAAGAAGCTCACAAAGTAATCCTTTACTTACTATTCCAATAGATAAGTAGACATTCAAACAATATGAAAAAGCACTGGAAAAAACCATCCCATACAACCCGTAATGCTTCAACAACAGATTTAATTGATACCCAGTAGAGGAAATGTCAGAGAAGAAATTTTTAGAACGTACGTAGTTAAAATGTTCTATGATTTTAAAATAAGCTTTAAGGAGTGGAATTAGAAAATACAGAAAGTAAAAGATCACTTCAATAAAGAGAGGTTCTGAAAAGGTATCAATCCAAAATTCTGGAAATGAAAAGATAAATAAACCAAATAAATAATTCAATGGAAAGCATCACCAATGAATTAGGCCAGTTTGAAGATAGAATTTTAGACCTCAAAGCTAAAGAATATACCCTTGAAAATAAAGTTGATCATTAAGAAAAGATATTAAAGAGATAATGAACAGAGTATTTAAGAAATCTGGGATAATATTAAAAGGCCAAATTTAAGGTTCATTTTGATGAAGGCTCTGAATTACAAGCTAAAAGAAAACAGTCTTTTCAGTGAACTGATATCAAAAGATTTGCCAATCCTTAAAAATGGAATGGAAATTCAAATACAAGAGGTATGCAGGACTCCAGATATACAAAATTGCAGTAGATCCAGTCCAAGACATATTATAATGAAAATGCCTAATGTACAGAACTTTAAAAGCTGCAAAAGCAAAACGACTGGTCACATTTAGAGGTAAACCAAATCCAGATTTCAACTGATTTCTCAACGCAGACCCTAAAAGCCAGGGGGGCTTGGAATAATACATACCAAGCTCTAGAAGAAAAAAAAAATGCCAACCAAGAATACTATATCCCAACAAAATTAAGCTTCAGAATTGAAGATAAAATTTAAAATTCCATTATAACAACAGAAGCTAAGAGAATTCCTAACTAGAAAGCCTATACTACAAAACATCATCAATAAAATATTTCACAAAGAATAAATGAAAACCAACATAGGGAAGAATTAAAGGAGAATCAAGTCCAGTTTGAACATTAGAAATTAAATGGCAGTAAATAAAAATTATCTCTCAATAATAATATGAAATGTAAATGTTCTAAACTCTTAATCAAAAAACACACATTGGCAGATTTGATTAAAAAAAAAACAACAATATGCAGTCTTCAAGAAACTTGCCTTACAGGCAAAGATATACAGAGTCTAAAGGTGAAAGGATGGGAAAAAACATAAAATTCACATGGGACTTATAAAGAAGCAGAGATAGCTATTCTCAGATAAATTAGAAGAGAAAAAGAAGGTTACTTCATACTGCTTAAGGGAATTGTACATGAACAAGATATAATTTTCATAAATATTTATGCTCCAAACAACATAGCATCTGTGTACATAAGTTGAACCCTTCTCAATATTAAGAATGAACTAGACTACAATACAGTAATACTGGGTGACGTGTGCATCTCTTACCACTAGGTAGATATCCAAACAAAAACTAAATAATGATGTTAACAAACTAAAAACATACAATTTGGACTTAATAGAACAGGCAAACATAGACTGTTTTATCCATCATCTTCTCAGCAGCACATGAACATTTTCTAACCATATTTTAGGCCACAAGGCAAATGTTAGCAAATACAAAAAAAATCTTATATTCTATTCATAATGAAATGAAATTAGAACTCAATGATAAGATAAAAACAGAAACTACCTTCAAATGATAAATAGATAGGGAGAAATAAAAAAAATATTTAGAGGTAAATTAAAATAGCGACTCAGAAAAATGAGAAATTATATCCCATCTGATTCAAATGTATAATATGCCAAGATCATTGTACTGTCATGTTTAACTAATTAAAACAATTTAAAAAATGAAAAAAAATTAAAATAGTGATATAACATCAAAATGTCTGGGACACTGTGAGGGTGATTCTAAGAGAAAAGTTCATAGCATGGAGCCTCATACATTAAAAGAATAGAAAGATAGCAAATAAATAACCTAACATTAAATCTAAAGACCCTAGAAAAAGAAGAATAAACCAACACCAAAATCAGCAGAAGACAGGAAATAAATAAAATCAGAGCCCAAATCAATGAAATTGAGATCAACAAAACAAAGAGTTGGGTTTTGAACAAAATTGATAAACCCTTAGCCAAACTAAGCAAAAGAAAGAAAGGGGGGGACCTCAAATTATCAAAATCTGAGATGAAAAAGGAAATATCACAGTGCAAATCCAGAGGATTTTGAAAATTTATTTTCTAGTAAGCCAGAAAAATTTAAAAAATATTGACAGATTCCTTAGAGACATGACTTACCCAAATTGAACCATAAGGATATATTAAACTTAGACCAGTATCAAGCAGTGAAATTGAAGAAGCTATCAAAATTATTCCAGCAAAAACAAGCCAAAGATCAGGTGGATTCTCAGCCAAGCTCTATCAAATATTTAAAGAAGAACTAATACCAATCCTTCTCAAAGTATTCCATGAAATAGTAAAAGGGAGAACACTGCCAAACTCACTCCAGGAAGCCAGTATTACCCAAATACTAAAACCAGACAAAGACATATCAAGGAAAGAAAACTTCAGACCAACAACCTTGATGAACATAGTTGCAAAAATTCTTAATAAAATACTGGCAAATTGCACACAAAAATACATTTAAAAGATAGTATACCATAATGAGTTTCATCCCAGGGGTATAAGGTTGGTTCAACATGTGGAAATCCATAAATGTAATTCATCACATAAATAGACTTGAAGATAAGAATCACATGACTATCTTGATAGATGCAGGGAAAAGTATTTGACAAAGTCCAGCACCCATTCATGTTTAAAACACTAGAAAAACTAGGGATAGAATGAACTTACCTTAACATTGTAAAGGCTATACATGGCAAACCCAAGGACAACATTATTCTGAATGGAGAAAAACTGAAAGCATTTCCTATAAAAACACAAACAATACAAGAATGCCTACTTACCACTACAGTTTAGCATAGAGAGTTCTTGAAACTCTAGCCAGAGCAATCACACAAGAGAAGGAAATTAAAGGGATATGAATAGGAAAAGAAAAGCTCTGATTATCTCTGTTTGCTGAGACCATGAAGACCCTAAATCCTCCACCAGATGAAGCTCATTAATAATTCAACAAGGTAGTAGGATACAAGATCAATACTGATAAATCAATCACATTCCTGTAATCCAATGATGAATCTGCATGAAAAAGAAATTAGGAAAACTGTCCCATTCACATAGCCTGAAAAAATATGAAATTCTTGGGAATCCATTTAACAAAAGAGGTGAAGGATCTCTACAAAAAAAACTATAAAACATTAAAAAAGAAATTGGAGAAGACCTTAGAAAATGGAAAGTTTTTCCGTGTTCTTGGATACGCTGTGGAAAGCAGTACGGAGATTCCTCAAAAAAAATAGGAATGGAACCACCATTTGACCCAACTATCCCACTCTTTTTAAATTCTTTTCGATGTATAACATAGGCATACACATTTAAAGAAGAACTTTAGCCACATCAATGTTTGTAGCAGCTCAGTTCACAAAGCCAAGCTATGGAGCCAACCTAGGTGCCCATCCACAGATGAATGGACACAGAAACATAGTATATATACACAATGAAGCATTACTCAGCCATAAAGAAGAATGATTTTATGGCATTTGCCAGCAAATGGATGGAATTGGAGACTATCATGATAAGTGAAATAAGCCAGTCCGAAAAAGTCAAAGGTCAAATGTTTTCTCTTGTATGTGGGAGCTAATCCAAAGTGAGGGCAAAGTTAAAAAGGAACAGAAGAAATGTCAGTGGAGTAGACAAGGGGGAATGAAGGGAATGAAGGAAGATAGAATAGAGAAAGACAGTGGAGTGAATCTGACCTCACTTTCCTATGCAGAGATATGAATATACCACAGTGAATCTCAGCACCATGTACATCCACTAGACACTAATTAAAAACTTTAATTAATAGTGGAAAGATCAGTAGAGGGAAGGAAATGGGAAAGAGGGAAGGGAAAGGAGACCTACTGTAGACTGAATTAGAACAAATTATATTCCATGCTTTTGTAATTATGTCAAAATGAATTCTGTTATGTATAACTAAAAAGAACCAATTTTTTTTTTAAAAAAAGGGAAAGGAATGGTTCTTTTTGAACTGAACTGAGGAACAAAACTTGTCTTTAAGTGGCAAGGAACCTACCTATCCACAGTGCTGTTTCTTAGGAAGAAATGAGGGAAAAATAGTATGAAGATAACAGAAAATGCCTGTTAAGACTCAACCAAGAGGTTGTGCCTCCAGAGACTTAAGTCTGCTCTACTTTACAGGCAATTGTAATTTGTGTGTCTTGTAAAAGAAAGTCATTCATCCTGTATCCTTCTAATCATCTGTCTATATAACCTTAGGAAATTTATAAATGAAGAATGAAGGCATTTTCTTTATATTTCCTAAGCTTATTTATTACTGCCTTCTCATGTCTAAGAATGACAAAGTCAGCCTTGCTTTTTACAAAAACAAGGCTTTTTTTCTTTAGTATTCTAATGCATTGCTATTCAGTCATGCCCATGGACCAGACCACAAGGGAATAGGTATAAAAATTGAGAGCAACTATTTCTAAAACATTTGTAGTATTCTAACAATGCTTTTGCTTTAACATCAAAACAACCCTGATCTTTTATTTTATACATTTATGTTCACAATATACTTGGAAAACTAACTCTTCCTTCACCACAGAAGCATTGTTCCAAAGCATGGAATTAAATTGTAGAACACAATAAGAATAATCAATAAGAAACATGAAGATTTCTTTTAGTGATGATAGTTTCTAAAGTGAATCATTTAAACCTTTTTGCATGTTTCAGCTTTGTTATCTAATAATTCTTGTCTCTAAATAGATGCTGAGAATGTAAACCTAGATGACTATAACATACATGTCATTGCAAGTGTATTCAAACAGTGGCTTCGTGATTTGCCCAATCCCCTTATGACTTTTGAACTCTATGAGGAATTTCTTCGAGCTATGGGTAAGCACAAGCTTTTGGGTTTAAGGGAAGTCCAATAATTGAGAAAGGAATGCCATGTTTAGCATAGATTAAACCATCCTCTAGTGCTTTAGTCCTTAAAGAATCAAAAGTATGCTTTTGATGGTCAATATGAAACTGCCAGTATACTATCAATTGTTCAAATGTTTACTTTGTACAGACAGTACACTTTAATTCCCATGAAGAGACTAAAAGACTAGGGTTAGAAAATATTAAAAGATTAAATAGGAGATTTAAGGGTGGACTTAGATTCATTTAAATTGTGTATCTAAGCAGGAACTGTGTGAAGAGCTGGCTGGGTGTTTTATGCCAAGTCTAACCGGTTTTGGAGTTTGCTTTCTCAATGCTGTAGGATATTAAGATATTTAGACCTTGAGGATATATAAATTATATGGCACTCGGTTTATTTTAATGAAAAATCTGCTGCAAAGTAGTTGAAAAACTGGAGCATTGCCCCTTGCCATATAGAGAATTGCTAGGGTATAGATCGATTGAAACTCGGATTGCTTATAAAACTCAAATATAGATAGTCAAGGAATAACTATGAATTTCTCTTCTGCCATATAGGTGCAACCACCTCTTCCAGAACTCTAGTATAGTGTCAGAAGATGTAGCATATAAGAGGGGATAGTCAATGTTATTTACTGTACTTAACTGTTTTTAGGCCTTCAGGAGAGGAAGGAGACAATTCGAGGTGTGTACTCCGTGATTGACCAGCTCTCCCGAACTCATCTCAATACACTGGAACGTCTCATCTTTCATCTAGTCAGGTAACCTCAGGAGCAAGGAATTGTTTAATAGTTTCTCTTGGATTCTTTGTAAGTAAATGAAGAGCTTCTTCATTTGGAAGATGGATATGCATATGTGTATTTGCATATATATATATATAATTTTTTCCTTCTACTTATAAAGTCAGTCCCTCAGATGGGTGTTAGGATTCCTTAGAATAGAAATCCTCAGTTGAGCTGGACTGCATGGCAGCTGCCTCTCTGCCCTTATTTGAGCGATGTAGCAGCTCTGGACTCATAGTTGCATTGTGTAACTCAGCCTTTTATCTCACTCCTAAACTAGAAAGAATGTTTATCTGTTGACATAATGTAATTCATAGAAGGTGGCCCATACCTGTAATCCCAGAGACTCTGAAGGCTGAGACAGGAAGATCATGAGTTCAAAGCCAGCCTCAGCAGATTAGGGAGGCACTTAGCAACTGAGTGAGACCCCGTCTCTAAATAAAATACAAAATAGGGCTGGGAATGTGGCTCAGGGTGGTTCAATCCCTGATACCAAAAAAAAAAAAAATAGGTTGACTGACTGAAGAAGCTTCAGAAGTTGTATCTCTTGTCCTGTGTGTAAATATCAGCAGTAACTGGAAAGGAAGCCATCTTTTTTCTGGTTAAATATCTTATGTGACTATCTTAAAGCCTCTGCCCCACATCCTTCAGAGAGGCTCATCTATTGATATCGACATTGAGCCACAAATTTCTCTTAGTAGGCTATTTGCTGACCTAGAATGTCTGAAAGAACAGAGTGAAATTATATGTTTCCAGAGGCAAAGGAACAGCTCTGGGAAAAGCCTACAGTGTCTCCCTTAAACTGATGTTATCCTTCTAGTACTGTGGTTGCCATTATACTGTCTTCTTTTTCATATCTCTTCTGCCTACTTCCCCTGCTCTTTATCCCTCTTTCACTCATTTTTGTTTGATTTTGTTCCTTAGGATTGCCCTACAGGAAGAAACTAATCGAATGTCTGCTAATGCTTTGGCCATTGTGTTTGCACCCTGCATTCTCCGCTGCCCTGACACCACTGACCCACTACAAAGTGTGCAGGACATCAGTAAGACTACCACGTAAGGCCAGCCATGATCACCTCTGCAAGACCTTAGGGACTTCTGACTCAGTTGGTGTTTTCACTATCCAAATATCAAACGGTGTATGATTTCATAGGTTCATGTATGTTTAAGAAGATTACTGGACACTACTGGATTTTTTTTTTTTAAGGAAGTTAGTAGGTATTTTTTACTTGATTATCTTTTATGTGGTGCTGCGGATCGAACCCAGTGCCTCACATGTGCTAGACACTGAGCCACAACCCCAGCCCACTACTGGATATTCTTATACTAAGAATATATACTTTAAATTCATTTCAACTGAGAATTATCAGTTTTAAAGGATCTTATATTTTTAATTTGGCATTTAAAACTGCTTGTACTTTCCAAATACATTTTCAAATTCCATCTTATCAAACTGTACACTTTGTATCTTTCTGTAATCTAGTCTTACTATAGTCTTATGGCTCCAAATCCCTTTGGTTTTAGTACTTCAGTATTCCTATATTTCACCTTAACTTTTTCTTGGGTTATATTTCTGTGCTATTCTTTTAAACCTTGACTACAAAACTAACTTTTAAGAAAGAAATACCAGTGCTTAAATCCCATCCCCAAAGAGTATGATGGTTTGGAATGTAGATTGGCCATTGGGATTTATAGTTATTCCTTAGGTATTTTCTAAAGTGTAGCCAAATTGTGAGCCACTGTTTTATACCTTGTTTCTGAGCTAATAAAGTAAGAGATATTGATTTTTTTTTAATCCTATGACTATGTACCACCCTTATCTGAAAAACAGTCTGTTGATGCTATACTTTATTTACTTCTGCTCTTAACAGTTTTCTCTCTTTCCTCCTATTTCAGCTGTGTGGAGCTGATTGTTGTGGAACAGATGAATAAATATAAGGCTCGTCTTAAAGATATCAGTAGCTTGGAATTTGCTGAGAACAAGGCAAAGACTAGGCTGTCACTGATTCGTAGATCAATGGTAAGATGCAAGACATGAAGACACAAGGGAAAAATGGGAGTCTTTCTGGGATTTTAAGTGTGCATTTGTGATATAAATAGGGATTATTCTCCAAAGCTTTTTCATAATGAAGAAATTTTTTTTTAAATCACCAAATCTGTGGGTGCCATGGATGCCTGATATTTGATCTGTTAACTCTTTTTAGTTATATGTATAGAATATGTGTGATTAAATGTGCAGAATTTTTTAAATCAAGGATTTGGATAAAATGTTGGTGGCTTAATAATTTCCCCTGTTTACTTTTCTTGTCCTTTCTATGAAAACCCGATCCTAACTTTTTTCTCTACTTCTTCCACCATCTGTTCCTATACCTTCAATCATGTCACTTTTGGTGGTCCTGCCAAAACTCCTGGGAGTAGAGACCTCAATCATTTGCAACAGGATTTGAACAAAAACATTGATTCATGAGGAAATAGATTTCCATATGAGTCTACTATTATCAAATAAAGATTTCTTTAAGGAATTATTGTTAGGTTAGGCCTAATAAATGGTAATTTATTTTCTTCATTTACCCACTTATGTATTTAATACCTTGTATTGTAACCAGTGAGATATGTTTAATTATCACTAACAATTAATAGGATCTGAGTAACCAGAAAACAACTGCTGAATTCATGTTTAATTATTACCCGTTTGTTACTCTCCTGACTATAAAATTGTAGTGATGAACAACCACTTCAGATCCCCAATAAATCTCTAGGCTTCCCCATCATCTTCATAGTTAGATTGGCACTAAATTTATTAAACTACCTACCACAGAATAAGTGCTCAACAAAGGTCTTCTCTAAAAACGAACATAAGTATAGCCTTTTCCCAGGCAGTAAAGACATTAAATAAAATTCCTCATTGGATACTGTCTAAACCTTTTCCCCAGAAACTGAAAACAGAAATGTTATTTCAAAGCAAAACTTTTTTTGTAGTATGAATTTTCAGGAACTCGGTGCCAAGAGGCCCAGTCTAGTAGCACCCACATTGCCAATCCAGCAGAAGATGGAGATATTCAGTTCTTTGAAATATTAACCTTCTCTTTTAATGGGGCAATGACATGTACATTCTAACCTTCTGCTTTCCTTTTCATGTCCTTCCTAATCCAGAAACCTGTACTAATTGCAGTTAGATTTATGAGCATTACCCGCAGTTCAGTCTCGGTATGTATTAATATTGCAATGTGTCACAGCCACTTCACATTATTGTCTCTCATTCATCCAGGAATTGTTCTACTCTGTCTATCATTCATAACTGTCTATCCTCCATGTTCAATTCCAATTCAGGTCCCACTTTTTGACTAGCCATCACTTACTTTTCTCTTAATCTCTTTCTTTAGAGCCTTTGTTTTCCTTTCTCTGTATTGTCGAACAATGTTCACTAAAAATATATTGTTTTTTCCTCTTTTTTAGATAAACCTCCTTTTGAGTTTCTTCTTTGATTGAATCATTAAAAGGTGATAGTTGAAAACATTTAAGTATCAAGTTTATTTCTGCTCTATGAGCTGTTTTTCCTAGCAATCCTGTCCATTTTATAATTTTAAATACCTATTACTATTTCCAACATCTCTCATCATTATTGATGCTTATTTGTTCATTCATATCTGTGATCTGGTGATATCATCCCAGATGTATCTACTTGGCATTTATCAGACAGAGCAACAAGTAGAAGTGAACAAATAGATAAGATTAGTTTAGACTTAAGTATTAATAGTAGTAGAGCTCATAGCAGGATTTACTTGCTGGTGCACTTCTTCAATTCCATTGTTTATACAAATGAGTACTGGAGTATTGGGAAACTAAGAACACCAATCTATGTGGAATAATTTCAGAGATGCTCTGCCTGTGTGTAACCATTGTATTGTTGGGAAATAAATACACATCCAATTTGCTTTTTGTCCAGTAACTCCCTTTTAATTTTTTGTCAGACTTCCCTTTCCCCACTGGATAATCAATTCCTTAACAGCATCTTGTCACTGTTTGATAATTTTCAAATGCTTCACTCTCATTCTGATATTTAAAATCAATTCTCTTCATATTAAAATTCAGTCACAGACTTGATCCAATGCTCTTCTCATTTAATTTCAGGACAGACTAGACCTTAGTCTGGGGCTTAAAACTTTGGAGGTGTCTAGGTAGTTCCTATTTGTCTCATACTTCTGTCCTTTATCTTTCTTGTCAACACTATGATTATTATCTTGTCAACACTACTACTTGTTATCAGTAGGCTAAATGAAGATGAGTGGTACCTCCAGTTTACTGATCATGAGCTCATTCTTATCCTATGTCTGTAGCAATTTCTTGTCCCCTTAAGATTTGTTTACATCTTCTGGCTAAATCCTGACTGATGGCATTGATACTATGTGGAAAACTATAAAACTCCCAGGGCAGTTTTCCAAAATTCTGCTAGTTGTTTAAAATCTTAAAATTTTACCACTGACATCAAATGTAATTATTTATTTCATTTGAAATAGGTTCCCTTCATAACATTTCAAAAAAATGTGTACCACATTCCCTTTATTAATTATTCTAAGAAATGTTTTGTGAGTAAAGCAGATAGTTCATCTTATAATTCAGACAATTATGGAAATACTCTTTCTTGAGATAACCCTCAGTATATAACAGAGTATATAGTATATTATAAAACACATACTTCCATTTTGTCATACGGAAAATTAAAAGTAGCAAACTCAACAGTCGTGGATTATTAAAATTAGTTTATACTACATATAAACTAATGGCAACATGACATGAAACTGAGTTTTTTAATTCAGTGCATGATAGCAAAGAATATGATGATGACTAGTATATCTTGGTACCATTGCCTTGATTCACGTATTGATGCCAATAGAATTTTTTTTTTAATCCACAATTGCTTTTATCTAATTAGTGCAGATCTCAACAAGTGGAAGGGAAAAATAGCATCTCAGTATCATTATGTAATAGTCTGTATATTGCAGATTTTTTAAATGATCTTGGGGATACCCCCACTCCTTTTGGGGAACCTTACATTATACTTTGAGATCCACTGTATTGCAGTACATGTAATATTGATGGCTTACTATACTGTAGAGAATTTTTTGATGAGGATACACACAAACACATACTGTTTATGTTTAAAGTGTTTACCAACCCTCATCAGTGAGCAGTAACTATAGGCATTGAGATGATTTTTTAACTTCCTGGGTACCTCATTATGATACCGTACAGAACAACCAGTCTTTTTTTAAATTTTACTTTATTTTTAGTTGTAGGTGGATATAATATCTTTATTTTATTTATTTATTTTTGTGTGGTCCTAAGGATCGAACCTAGTGCCTCACACATGCGAGACAAGTGCTCTACCACTGAGCCACAACCCCAGCCCCACAATCAGTCTTTTTAAAAAGATCATGGATAAAGTACTTCTTACTACCAAAATTATGACTTAAAATATTGAAATTCAGAATTCGATATTTAAAAAAAAATTCTTACTAGAAAACTAGACTCCTCAGGAAGTAGTCTAATAATTCACCTTGGTTATTCTGGGTAAAATTTCTTTGTTAGGATTCTTAGATTTGTGCTTCAGCTAGTTATGTACAGTTCTGTGCACATCATACATGGTTCCTCCTCCTCCTTCTCAGATTTTCACCTCCAAATGGACAAACCCCAATTATGTATATTTTTTGTATCTTCATGAAGTATCATAACCTCCCTCATGAGGGTAATATTTCCCACTTAGTCATTACATGTAGTAGACAGTGCATTCTTTATCATCATTATGAATCTCTAACAATCCCTCTTGCACTATTTAGGCTTTGAATCATAGTATTGAATTTCTTTGTGCCTGTCAATTATGCCTTGTCATTTCTTTTTGCTTCCTTTTTTCATTATAAGCCTTATAGCATTTTCAGAAGAAATCAAAACTAGGACTCTGTATCTAGTATATCTTCTTCTCATCTTCATTGTTATCTCCTTAAGCCTTAGGGGAAAATAGAAATGTTAGGTCCAACTGATGATGACCTTCCATAGGGCATCTTCACTTAGATTCCCCACATTAAAACATTTGACTTCCAATATTTTTGTTACAGTGTATGAAATGGCCTCAGAATTCTGATCCAAATCTGTTTCAGAATACCACTCTTAGGAAAAATAGCAGTACAATTATGTACAGACTTCTTTAGACAAGTCTGTATGATTAGGCAACTAAATTTATGGGCATTAGAAAGCAAAAGGAGTTTGGGAGAGAGGAATGAGACAGTTCTGTGTACCAAGTGTGGTCAGAATACTAAGGAAGAAGTACTTATTTCTGCCTGGGGAGCACTGAGAAAGGCTGTAGATGAAGTGATAAATGAGCTAGGTCTTAAGGGATAAATTTGAACTAATCAAATAGAGGAAGACCTGTTGGTATAAATTATACAAGGTTTAATTTGGGGTGGGGGGCAGAACTGTAGCTCATAATTGCTAGAAACAATGTTATGTGATTATACAGAAAGGAGACCCAAAGGTAAAACCAAAATAGGCTTTGTTTGGAAATATACTAAGACATTAGGACTATTAGGCCTTAATGAGTGATCACGGACTGGCAAGATCTCATTTATAGATAGTTTATCAATTTAAGTGTTATTGCTTTATATTCTTATATTTATGATAGGGAATGACAAGTTTATCAATTTAAGTGTTATTGCTTTATATTCTTATATTTATGATAGGGAATGACAACTGATGATAGTTTCTCCTTCTAAGTCTCTTTCAAGGTTCTCAGTAAGTGTAACTAAAAGGGTATCCTAAGTTTATAGGACAATCAGTTGAGGTGGATGTAAAGTTTATTTTTATCCAAATAATATTTTTATCCAAACAGTGGCACCAGAAAAAGGTGGTTTAAAGTGAATCTACTTTAGTAACATAATTAATAGTTGGTCTAAAAACAAAAATAGTTGGACTAATGTGTGTGTACACGTAACTCTGTGCCCAAAAAAGGAAAAAATATACTTTTTT